GATGCAAGTGTCTGCTTAACACTACAATTAACACCCCATGTTGTCGATACACTTCTTTTTATGCCTCTTAGCAAAACATATCCCTCAACTCTGCCAACTCTGGAACCCCAAAGGCTTATGAGGACACAGTGACTGCAGTTCTGGATGGGCAGTCAATATGCATTCATATCCATATTGTGAATTTGCTGGATGCCATTTCTTGTGATGTGTGGCTTGTTGTGCATGACAGGAGCAAGGTAATGTCTGATATCTGCTTATTCCTTATTGCCGATGCCGCTTTGAGCCACAGTTAGATTTAACCCAACACTCGCTCCTTCTTTGACTGACAGGGCTGCTCTTGCTACCAGTGCTTGGAACCGAACTTGAGATATTATGCATGCCAAACACATGATCTTCCACTGAGCTCTAGGGACCTCTCCAAAGACTTTAAGTATCAAAAACTTGGTGGCATTTACTTTTTGTAAAAAAATAGCACCTATTCACAACATGTTGTTGAAAAGTACATCGCAAAATGATTAAGCTTTGTAATACACCAGCCATTGCCTGCCTGTGGCCTTCCAGATGTGTTGGGCTATAACTCTTTAGTCGTAGTCAAAAACGTATGGAGGGTACCAGGTTGTTGAAGTCATAGGAAGACTTGGAGATTCTACTGTGCTGACTTTTTAAGGCACGCTAGCAATAAGAGGTCTTCCTTTTCCAAATATTCCACAATGGGGATTCAGAGGCAAAGGGGGTGCATAATATTACCTGCGCAAGATCCCACCCTACTCTCCGTGGTAGAGAAAGTTAATGGAAATAACCCAGATAATTATATTTTATGAACATCTAATCTACTGAGACTCTGGCCTCATTCAAGAGTTGCAGGGAGCAAAGCATTGAATGTTCTGTGTATGCAAATAATGATCTGGTACAGGGAAACATGTTTTCACCAAGTATCAGGACTGATTGAAAACTTTGCCCAGTTCCCACCTTTACAAGACCAGTTCCCAGGTTGCCCTTTGTCCTTGGATCCCATAGCAGCCGCAGCAGAATCTGTAATCACCAGATCACACAAATTATGCCAGACGTGTCTGTAGTTGGGAAATTACAGAGATATGTGCTTTGATCTAATCTGAAGACACATCTGGTAAGTGCCATATAATAAAGTTTTGATGTAAAGCTGGAAATGTACATAAAAACAGCAATGTAGGCAATGTTGCCTTATTATTTCTGTCACCCAGCTGTGAAAAGACTGCTGTGAACCACTTCTTTTTGCCATAAAGGTAAAGGTAAAGGGATCCCTGACCATTAGGTCCAGTCGTGACCGACTCTGGGGTTGGCCAAGGGAGCCAGCGTTTGTCCACAGACAGCTTCTGGGTCATGTGGCCAGCATGACTAAGCCGCTTCAGGTGGACCAGAGCAGTGCACGGAAACACCGTTTACCTTCCCGCCAGAGCGGTACCTATTTATCTACTTGTACTTTGACGTGCTTTCAAACTGTTAGGTTGGCAGGAGCAGGGACCGAGCAACGGGAGCTCACCCCGACACGGGGATTCGAACCGCCAACCTTCTGATCGGCAAGTCCTAGGCTCTATGGTTTAACCCACAGCGCCACCCACTTCTTTTTGGCATACACCTGCGTAAAATTTTGGACCTTGTACTACAATGCTTTCTAACACCTTGTCCTTCCTTAAATGCTTTTTCCCATTTGCCTTGTGCCCCCTTCAGGTCCTAGGAGCCTTCATAAGGGCTTGGTGGCTATTTTACCCTGACCTGTTGGTAAGCTGTATGCTCACTTATGGTAAATGTTCATGTATCCTAAATTAACGATTAAATGTTGATTGTTACTATTTTAGTATTATCTTGTTGTGACGTTTTATTACATATTGTTATTGTATTACTGTCTTTAGACACCAATTTCTGCGAGAACCACTTTGAGCCCAGATTTACTTCTAGAAAATGTGGTATATAAATAGACTATAAATTCCAGTTCTGGGAAAGCATGAATTCAGGGCAGCTGTGTGGCAAGCAATTTGAAGTGTGACAATGGTAGGTGGGGAAAGGGATTCGTGCCCCTCCCTTCTCCTGTCCCACATGCCCCACTGCAAGTGGCTTTCTCTGACTCAAGGAATGTTGCATTCATCTTCATGAGGTGTCTAGTTTGGCTTTGAGATTTCGTTCTTCTGCATGAATCTTTTTCTTTTTTAGCAACATGATTCATGCAAAATTGACCATATTCTATTCAGCAAAACAAACGGTTGTTCCCCCCCCCCTTTTAGTATATTTTTTTGAGATGCAAACTACTTCTTCAAATTACATAAGCATCTACATGTCCACAAGCATATATGTTTCGAATCAGTTCCACTTGCTACTTTGCCTCCCAACAGATCCATGAACTGGAAATCATAGTAGATGTTGTAGAACCGAATGCAGTTTTCAGTGGCATGTAAACCAGGAAGTGACTTCGGAAAAGCGTGTGCTTTCTGCCAAAAAATAATAACTCAAGATAATACAATCTCCAGGGATAGAATTGCCGGGAATGGCAGCCTGTCAGTTCTCTTCGGGCAACTCCCAAGGAGGACATGAAGCTACTGCTTTGCTCTGTTGTTTGTTCCATTATTGGGAACCAGAGGCAATGTGTTGTTGAACAGAGATGTTTAGCTGCAGAGGTGTCTGGGGTGCCCGTTTGGCCAGGTGGCGTGGAGGACTGCGCAGCTATGGGGGAAGGGAGGAGCCACAGTAAGACGCAGTACAGCAGCAGCAGCAACATTTGCCAGGACTCCTTGCTGGGCAGGACCCACCTAGCGGGAAATGCAAGTAACTGGATGGGTTCCCCTGTCTTAGATGAATTCATCTCATCTTTTTTGTAAGTCACCTAAGCTGGAGGCTATCGCTGCATGTAATGAGTGCTGCAAGTTAATTACACGTATGGAGAAGTTCTGACAAATCAGTTACGCCTGCTCAAAAATGTTTGTCCAAGCGAAGAGGAATCATCCCATGAGTATCGCACATGGCTTTTTTGTTCTTCTATGAACAGGTTGCTTTTCAGAGAGGCTTGTTTCCTTGTTGAGAAGTATTTTCTCAATGCTGGCTATGGTACAGTGTGTGAAATATTGAATTATTTTTAATACACTATCTTTCCCCTCTTATGGCAAGGGGCAGGTGTCTTAACGTTATTTTAAAAATTGCAAGCCTTTTCGCCTTCCTTGTAAACAGCTAGGCTCTAAAATATACAGCTATTCTTGAACCACCTGTCTAAACAGTAACTTTAAAATGTGTTTTTTCAAAAACATGCAAAATCAGCATTTTGGGAGGCCTCTCTGAAGGAGGAAGTTCCATAAGGCCAGGGCCCTGGCTTTACCCTTGCAGTCATTATTTGCTACATACAGTGGTCGGATCTGAAGCAAGGTTGCCGCAGAAGATTTCAATGATCAGGGTTTTTCTGGTCCACTTACACTCAAGAGGTCGTGCAGAGACAACCAATCCATGCCATTCTGCAGGGCAAGACTGATCTTTTCTCGACAGAGGCACGCCGTCTCCTCTTCTCCATGTTATGGAGAACAACAATCCCCCCGTTTCTGTACTTTCTGGCTGCACACACCACTCTGCTTTGTGCCTTGATTTTGTCCAAGTAGTTAAAGCAAAAGGATGGCTTGCCCTGGTCCCCTCTAGATATTGTGGGATGCCAGCTCCCAGATCTGGGAGGGTACCAGGATAGTCACCTCTCAGTTACAGCAGCACTGGGAATGGAGAGCAACAATATGCAGCTCTGCCCATGTGTTCAAGCTTGCATTGGAGAGATTCCTTGAGCCATGGTTCTTGCTTCTTGCAATGGGTTTTGCCCGCATAGTTTGAATGCACAGCATCTGTTAAGTAGTACTTCCATGGAAAACCTTCTCCCGTGAAAAGGCTTGGGAGAGACAGGTTAGATGCCAGTGGAATAATCCATGGCAAAAACTCACATCTGTGGCACTGTGGCTTTGCAGGAAGAGGTGCATTCCTCCCTCCCAGCCCAGTCAGTGCAAAACTGGGCATTTGGCAAATCCTTTAAGCCTCTGAAAAACCTCAGCTGCTGCAAACAATGGATTCGTTTAATGCCAATTGTAATGGGATTTTTATTAGGAACCAGAACAAAACCAGGACTTCCTTTCACAGTAGGCTCAATCAACACTCATCAGGTGGCAGGAATTTTTAACTGTGCTGAGTACCAACTTGGGTTGCCTATGAACAAACTGCAAAAACAACCATTTCAATGTCAGCTGCCCCTCTTCGCCGCTGTTCACCAGGTCTCCTGCTAATCCTTTCCAAAGTGAAACCTGACATTAAGAAGCCTATAAATCCACCTCTTCCACGGTCAATTGGTGGATCAACTAGATGCCAGGAAAAGGAAACCCCAATGCTTGTTATTAATAAAGACTGATAGAGAGTCTAAGCATTGTGCAGCAATGAAAAAAGATAACATTTGCCTACAGACACCACAGCATCTGGAGATGTGCTACAATTCATTGTAGACATGAAGGACTGATGGTCTTCCTCAGTATATTAATAATAATTTATTATTTACACCCTGCCCATCTGGCTGGGTTTCCACAGCCACTCAGGACGGCTCCCGACAGAATATTAAAAACACGGTAAAACACCAAACATTCAAAACTTCCCTAAACAGGGCTGCCTTCAGATGTCTTCTAAAAGTCAGATAGTTTTTTATTTCCTTTTATATCTCCGATGGGAGGGTGTTCCACAGGGCGGGCACCACTACCGAGAAGGCCCTCTGCCTGGTTCCCTGTAGCTTCACTTCTCACAGTGAGGAAACCACCAGAAGGCCCTCGGAGGAGGACCTCAGTGTCCGGGCAGAACAATGGGGGTGGAAACGCTCCTTCAGGTATAAGCTACCTGTCGTCTTAACAGTGAAAAAGGATGGGGGAAAGCATTAGAGTAGCTTCTGCTTCTCTCGACAATGGGTGTTCTTGCTGTGTGCAGCCTCCATTAGCTATTGGATGGAGCCAGAGTGTAGTCGCATCCTGCTCTCCAAACCCCAAGCAACTGGCAGTTGTGGGACCAAGTTTTGGTGTGTTTTTTTTCTGGTAGAGGGCAATGAAAAGCAAGTTCTCTGCATCTGCTCCTTCTCTGGCTGATGGGCGAGGCCAATGTATTTGTATCGCAATCCGCTGAATTTCTAGATTGTTGACAATGCATTTATTCATTCCACATGGGGGAATGGCCACAGGAAGGAAAGCAAAAATGAGTCCAGCAACTGGTTGCAATTCGCTGAACTGACAAGAGGAGCAGAGGCAGCCCAAGACATTTTGTAGCCTGAGGATAAGTCAAAATGGCACCACCCTCTCCATGATGGTATGCATGAGCCAGCCCAAAGTTAAAGCATGTTGAAACCCCACTGACTTCATTGGGAAAGCTAAGCAGGCGCTATAATCTCACTCATTAAAGTCAACGGGACTTCAAAGAACTAAATTTCATGCTCGCTGTTTAAGAAGCACCTTGCACTTTAAATGGTTTCAATAAAGACTATTGTGAAGATACCCATTTTATATTGAACTGTTTATTGAGTGTTGCCTTTTGTACAGTAGGGGTCAGTCGCCCTCAGCAATGTGTTATGGACCACTTAGGCTTACCTGGGAACAAGTGCTTTTGAACTCAAGGGATCTGCCTCACAGTAGAGGAGGTTAGGAATGCAGTGTAAGAGATCAAACCCAGATACATTATCAACACATAACCTAACTCATTTGAGTGGAACTAATAATATAACATGTATTATTCATAAATTAAGCACACTAACGTGATAGCAAATAATTTAAAACATACAATACAAAACAATACATGTAATTGACAAAGGTGTTGGCTCCATTGCAGTTTTCAAAAAAAAAACATGTTTCACACACTTACAACAAAGTAAAATTAAAAATAGCAAACCATCTCCAGAAATAAACAAGCAATTGTCAGGTTTAGATAATGCTTGGTTGTATTTCCCTCACTCAAACTGGGGAGAAAAAGGTTTGCATTTTCCAGGTTTGTAGGTAAAATGGCTGAATGTTAAGTAAAGAGGCAGGGGATGGACTTAGATCCCTGAAACACTACAAAAGTACATTTCAGTACAGCTTCTCCTCATACTGGAACTGGAACAGGGCACAATTTTAGAGCAGCTTATTTCTTCCAAAGCAAATGAAATAACTTTTATGAGAAGATTTGGACTGCCAATCTGACCAACCAAAGAATTATTATAGAATGTGAAGTTAAGTTAATTAGATACATCCATTCCATTTGCTGATCCTCTGCTTTTATTGACTATTCAGTCAATCGATGGCTGCTAGCAGACCAAATTATTTAGCTATTTGGGCTGGATTAGCCAAAATCCCATTTAACTGGATAATTCACAAACATACTAAGATCAAATAAAGTTAAATAATACTAACAATCTATAACTGCAATGCCTCTAGAGTAAAAGCAGCTTTATTATTCTAAGACACAGAGAAATTCACGGACTGTGTGGAATAGTGACATGGATCATTTGGAATTAAGGTTTTCAAAAAAAACACCCACAACAACGTGTTATAGAGTAGGGTGGGGAACTGTGTTAGTGAAAAGGCTGTTGAGCTAACTATAAACTGATTAACAGCTTCATAAATAATATCAGCAAAAAGCTGGATGAATTCGGAGCATTCATCAGAGGGGCAAGCAGCAACTTGCAGGACAGGAAAAGGGAGACAAGTCAACTGATTTCTTCTTTTTTAACATTTGGTTACCATTTATAAGTGTTAATCAAGACATGACATGAATGTTGCTTACCCCTGCTTTAGATAGGGAGGGGAGCAACCGTACAAATATTACTGGACTACATCACCCCAAATCATGGATGTCTGAGGGCCTCCTGCTTTAGATAGATATTTTTGGTACATCGCAACAATTTTAGAAATTGCTATTTCAATTATCAGTGTTACCAGCACACCTTTAAAGGTTTGTTGATATTTACTGCAATTCAATTGACTCAAATAATAATGAAATACACTGATAATTAAATCCATACAGAAATGGTCATATTCAGGGTTAGTCACCTGATTGTTTTTAAAAACACATATTTTGGAAATCTATGATATCCTGCATCTACCCATGCAATTTAATGCCCTTCTTTTCTTAAGAGTAACCAGCTAAATTCAAATACCCTGGGTGGGATTCAAGATTGTGCTCAAACTACCAAATATGTTGACCTGTTATTCATAGGGGTTGACACTGGCTTCAAAATTACCCTCTTTTCTGTGAGCCAATAATTTGCCAATGTCTCAAATTGGCTCATAGCTACTCTAAGGGAAGAAAGAAAGAAAGAAAGAAAGAAAGAAAGAAAGAGTTTACATAAAAAGTAGGAAGAGATGTTTCCTAAAGGCTGTTAGAATGTATTTTAAGGAAACCAGGAATTTGAAATAACTCCTTTCCCTCGTAGGATGGAAGTCAATGGGTCTCAACACTGAAACTCAATAAACTCAACACGACTTGGCACTTTCTCATGCAGAGACTCAGAAAGAAGAGCAACTGTCTGTGGCTTGGGAAACACATGGCTACAGAATCTGAAAGTTCCTGCTGACAAAGCAGGAATTTAAGAACAGCAGATTTGTGTTGCACCTTTTTATATGAAGTGCTCAAGCATCCCTCGCTGCCCTATTCTATTCTGCCATTGCAACCCATGTGACAGTGGAGACTGCTGCTCAGCTCCCAGCTTCCAAGGGAAAGAAGAGGCATCCCATAGTATTGTGCTGCAAACACAAGAAACAAAATTCTGCTCTCTGCCATGTGGACAGGACACCTCCAGCATAAAAGTCCACCAAGGACAGACCACTACTATCAGTAACAAGCCATAGGCAGTGTGAAATGTGACACATGCCTATTCACTTTGGTTAGTCTTTCCAAGTGGCATCAACAGTTAGCAATTCAATGTTAGGTTAGAGCCTTTGGAGCTGTTGACGGTGCCACAGTAAAGAATCTACCTGGTGTGTGCTATTTCCTTCTACAAATGGCTGCTATTTCATTCCTTTCCTTTCAACAACATTATATTGTTTTCAGATGTGCCCCCCCCCCCCATTCTCATGTTACGGTAGATTCTCAGGTTACATATTTCAAGCAGGGGACAATTCTCACATATCACACCTGTATCTGAATACATTTGCAGAGCTCTTAAATAAATGAGTAAAAACATTACTAATGGACACCATTTTACAGGTGTGTACTGAAGCAAGTTTCACAGGATAACATGTTTGTACATGTGCACATATGTGCTTACAGGAGTGACTTACAGAAAAGTAATGTGGACAGCAGCTCTAAGATCCTGCCATTCTTTTCTCTAAAGCTTTTAGCTACAGAAACACCCTATATCCCTACCCCTGCTATTTCTTATGTAACCAGCCTTCCCACACCTCTCATTTATAAAATTCCCATTTCAGACAGAAGTTTTTAATTTCCTGTTTAAAAGGCACGTTAAGGTTTGGTTTACTCAGTATCCTCCATTTTAAATATATTTGTTGCCTTAAATCTGTAATCTATAAGATACCGGATTAACCTAGTACTTTCCAGATGTTTCAGACTAGAACTCCCAAAACACCTGACCACTGAACCTGATGGGACCTGTAGTCTAAAATACCCGGAGAGTACCACAGGGAAGGATGCATTAACAGGTAGGTATAAATACAACTATGCATTATTTTCACAGAACAATGCACTTCCTACAAATTAGTAACCACATTTGCATCAATATATACGCACTGGAGGAAGAACAGGAAATATGGAGAAACTGCACTGAATAATAAAAGATCTGAGAGACTGTGAGCATTTGGACCTAATAATAACCTAAGGTTTACTGCTGTTCGCTACAGGAACAAGCCTAGGGAAGCCTCAGACTGCTACCTTTGATTAATCTAAGTTTAGTGTTTATGCCCAAACCCTAAACTATGGTTAAGCTTAACTGGTTTACTGAAACAGGTTGGCAGCATCAACCAAGATGTGAAGTTGGCTTGTTTCACTAAACCATCGTTCAAACCAACAAAGGCCAAACTGCAGTTATCCAAAAGGGGAAGCTTCCAATCTCCTCCGTGAATAGGAAGCACATGAGTCTGAGATTCTCCTAAGCATGTTGCTCAAATGATAAACCATAAACCTCTGAACACAGCCTCAAAGTGGCTAAAAGCAAAGAAACAAAATCAGGCTCAGAGGAAACATTTATGAGTGCCAGTAAATTCTGCTACCTTTTTCTGACTCTCTGCCTTCAATGTACAGACTCAATAAGAATGAAGGCTGGAATTCTCCATTGATCTGGCTGGGAAAGCTTACATAAGCTACCAGTAGGTGAATCTAGGTGCACAAGACTGGTCTGGATAAGGGCAAAATAAACGCAGCATCCGCAAACTTCATTTGACATATCTTTAAGTACCAGATACACAGAACTGGGAGGATTAATGGGCCTCACTCCAAAGACAGATGAATAAGTGGGCAGAATGTTATGTATTACTAGGATCCCATGGGTAAAAGTCGTGTACTAAACCCTCAGGCAAAAGACAAGGAAGCACGTTCCAATCTCTATCATAAGACACACGGAAAGTGCATTGCTATTCACAATCTGCTGTGTGCACAGTGTGTGTGGATGCACACCTGACAATCTGCAGCCACCATGTGCCGTGTTCTGTACATGCACTTCCTTAGGCAGAATTAGAAACTGCACAAGTCCCAATTTCTCAGCCAAGGTATTCCAAGATGTGCCGCCTCCTCACTGCGCTGAAGCATTTGTCCCCAGCAATTGCTCAGGCTGCTATTCCGAGTCCCCATATCAAGTGCAGCCAAAAGGATAGAGCAGCAGAGAGAGAGACGAAGCAGACCCCGGCCCTGCGAAACCCTCAGCTCACCATTTCAAAGTGTAAGAAGGTGGAGAAAGGTGCTTAGAAAAAGTGGTCAACTTCCAAAGCAGCCGCAAAGCAGTGTGTACATTGTTTAACATCAAAACAGATGCATTTTGGTGTTTAATCGTGCTACATGTGAGAAAAACCACAGGGATTTGCATTGTTGACTTAGTAGGAGATTGGAATGTTGTGCAGATGTAAAGCTGTGCATGTTCTACAACCATGAGTTGCTGTTCCAGTAGTCAAGAACAGTTATGCAGGAACTAAACAGCATTTAGCACTTGGTTCATATAGCGTACAAGGATTGCTATTCTAGTCATCTAGATGTGGATCTATAATTGAGTTTACTTTTTGAGATGTGGGAGAGGAATGTAGTCTTAAGGACGGTTTACTAAAACATCCTTCTAAGCTGGAAAAGACCTCACAAATACATCTCATAGGCCCCCTGTGCAAAGTACTCTGGGGCCTTTAAGTTCCAGTGCCACCTTTGCTATTTCTGCAAAATAGTTCACTTGGAAACGTAATAATAAATAATGCACACAATATTTCTATTTCTAACAATAAATGCAAAGAGAATAGGAAATATTTCAAGTAAACTACATTTGGCTTTAGACCACCTGGTTGACCTAGACTTCATGAATGCGTTCTGCCTTCAACCTTCTTAGCAACATTGACCCTTGCTATTCAATAACCGAAAAGGTGAATATTAGCCAATCTTTCTGCAGGAAAGGATTCTGCCTGGCAGTGGAACGTTGCCTTGTAAGCATTCATTCTACAGTAGGAAAGGGATCTCTGCAGGTTGCCAGCTTCCTCCTTTGAGTCAAGTGTTCTGATAGGACAGTTCAAACATGTTGCAGGCCTCTTCCAGGCTTTCATCCATGTTGAGTCTTCTCCAGAAAGACTTCTGCTTCATCTGAAGCTCCCTTCGCACACACCTGGGGCACGGCACCGACTTCACCTTGCACTCTGAATGGAAGACGGCACCACAGCTGTCACATCTGTGAGAACAAAATCAGATATTTGTATATTAATATGTAGGTTCCTAGCTTCTCTTCCCCACCCCACTACGCAGAGGAAAGAAGTTCTGTGCTAAGACTGTTCCTGTGCTGGCTGTATTCTGACCTCTGAAAGCCAGCCACACCGAGAAACGCTCAGAGGATTCTCAGACATCGTTGAGTCCCAGTGAGAAGGTGTCTTATAGCGTCGGAACATTGAGTTACACTATGGCAGTGGTTTAGCGAGGCAGTTAGGGCACAATGCTATGTGCAGTTAATGAAGTCACTGGGATGTACCGTATTTTTCGCTCTATAACACGCACCCAACCATAACACGCACGTAGTTTTTAGAGGAGGAAAATCCGTAGGCATGCCACCCGTAGGCATTCCCTCCATAACACGCACAGACATTTCCCCTTACTTTTTAGGAGGAAAAAAGTGAGTGTTATGGTGCAAAAAATACGGTAAGCAGCCTGACCGGATGCAGGGTTGCAGCTGTTAGTATTTGCTTTAATCTCAAAATCTCTGGAAGATTTTACAAGCTTAATTACTTAAGCATGTTACCCATTCTTTTCTGGATTGGAGCACATGCAGGGAACCCAAGTGGGAGCCAAGATGACAGCCAAAGAAAACAGTTGTGCCTTTAGAAATTTTAAATCATCCACATCTGACACTAATGCTGACTTTATCAAGCTAATTCCCCTTTCGTTAGTGATTTACAATTCCTTGGGAAACGCTGGAGACCAATGATTGATGAGAGTGTCATTTTGCATTCATTCATGGCCTCTCCCTTTTCCCTCTTTTGATCACTCTTCTCAGTCAACTGGAGAATGTAAACGCTTATCAGGAATTTCAGTCGAAATGGACGCCGGCAGGATTATGGAAGAGTGAAACACACCTGCCGTTGCTACCCAGATGCATTAAATCAGGGGGTGGGGAGGGACAAGAGAAGATTGATGATTTCAAAATTAAGAGCAAATACATCATTCAAACCATTTGAAAAAGTTGCAAAACACAAAAAAACCCACCCACCACCCAAAACTTCTGTATGATCAATAATCAACTTGTTCCTTGATAAAAGGGAACAGATGATTACAAGCAGGAGGACAGGGAAAAGCAGACATGAATGACACTCTTCATGGGCTTTGCTTAAAATCCCACCAGCACTTACGCTTCTAGCTCCCAAAGCCTTCCATAAATCAGCTTCTTCATTTTAACCAGTTATCCCACACTACAGGTCCAATTGTTGCTTTATCGCTACCAAATTAACCCTTAATATACCTAGTCATTCCAGAACAGTAGCTGCATATAGCACCCTAATCCCATTCATAGATTACTTGCTCAGAAACAACTCCTACTGCTTAATGGGATTTGGTTCCCAACATGCATACAATTGTGGCCTTCATTAGGGACTAACTGAATCATTGCTGCATAAGCTTTTGCAGGAAAACTCACATTTCCTATGATAACTGTTGCATGCAGAAACAGAAAAGTGCAAACAGAGAATCCCTCCTGGACAAAGACAGCCTGGTCACTGTGACCCATGCCCTGCTAAAATCCAGATCAAACCTTTGCTCTGTGTTGTACACGGGTCTGTCTTTCAACATGGACATTTCAGCTCAGTACATGGCTGAATTCCATTACCATATTGAATCCCCTAATTTTAAAGCAGCTCCTCATTAACTTTCCCTCTTTAAGTCTGTGGTCATTAGAAGTCTTTCTCTGGATAACTCTGGCAACACAAGTTAGAAGGATGGCTACTGAGGAGAGGCACCTCTCTCTGGTGGGGTCCCAAGTAGCTCTTCCTAGAGCTACCTGCCTGATGCCTCCGCTGCTGAGCTTTGGGTGCCAGATCAATTATCATCATTAGCAGAACTTGTTACTTGCTTGTTACACAAAAAGGTCTCTCCATGACTTAAAACCTATTTAAGATCATAGACCAAAGTAAAAATGCATTATAATAAAAACCCATTTACACAAAGCATGTGCAATTCATTAAAATTGCCAAAAGTAACCTCCAGTAACAGCAGCATAAATTTTTGGCTGTACAACCAGCAGTAAATAACAGCAAACAAACATACAAGATCAAGACTTTTCTATCTGGCCAGGCTTTTCATTAGTATTTTTACTAATAGGATCTATACTAAGTTGTCACCATCTTCTATGTTACACAATAATTTGGATTAAGCTTTTTGAAAATCTTTCTTAGAGGCTAAACACTTGTTACCTAGTACAGATTTTCAGGTACGGGTTGTGGGACAAAGTGTTAAGGGTGAGCTGATGGTAGAGAGAACAGTGACAGAGAGATTGGAGAGAACACGATTGCTTCCTTCCCACAATGTTAGCACTCAAACGGCAACTTTCCCATGCAGTTTTCAGGTACTCATGTGACCCAGATGGAGGGAAACGTGAGGTTCCTAATAAAAAGCAGGTAGTGTTCTGGTCTTTCCCCAAAGGTGACTTTTGTGGGCTGGAAGTTCCACAAGGCCAATCCAGACCTTTTTTTTTTTCTGGTTTGCCCAATTCTATTCCAGTAATATATGGCAACGGTGATAACTTAGGTTGAAAATTTGAGTCAAGTGCATTGTGAAAATCCATTGGATCTGCTGTGCTCTGTTTGCCAGGAGCTATTCTGACTGGGAAGTAACACTTCAATTGCTCAGACATCTTAATTGCTGAGACAATGAACAGAAGAAATCCAAATCAACTAATTGGCCAGAGGGTCCATGAATCCACCTTGCAGTGAAACTGATGCAACAGACAGCAGCAACTCCCACAAGCACCTAATTACCATAGCTTTATTTTCAGGAGAAGGAGGTGGTTTTCAGTGTTGTGGTTGTGTAGAAAAGGCAGGAACACCCCTGAACAGTTTCTGATGAAAACTTGTTAAGACACAAGGATCTCGATGAAGCAAATATCCAAGGAATGAAGCCCACAAGTTCCACACATTTCCCCATTTCTACAGGATTTTAATGTGTGTTCCTGAATACCCACTGCCAACCAGCATTTCATGAGTCCAATTTCTCTTTCCTATTAGGATTATTTCACACCTTCCAAAAGTGGTTTGCCACCAAATGTACACTCATCAGTTAGCTGCAGTCAATCAAGGCTCTTATACACATTTGCAGGTGAATATTTGACACAGTCACACATAACACTTAAAACATCGTTGATGTCAGGCCGAGCACCATGGGTTGGCATCACTGGGCACCTGCCCAGGTCCATGCCCCAGCAAGGGCCCACCACACACCAGATTCTCCTGACACATACAAATTGCTGCTGGACAATGGAAATGGCTCTACTTTCTGCTCTTCTTGCAAACATGGACAGCTCCTTCTTCCTTGCCACTTCTGCTTGCTCCTTCTTCAGACCCAGCAATGAGGTAGAGGAAATGTTGTTGTTGTTGCTGCTGGTGCTGCCATTTACATTACTTACCTGCTCCCAATGGTACAGAAGCCCCGCCCCCCCGTGCCATCTCATTGGGTAAGGAAGAAGAGACTGCAGCTACTATCTTCCTCCCCACTTCCAGATTGGGCCCAAAGAGGAAGAGAATAGAGCGGAAGTTGCGGGTGATGGTGAGATGAATGAGGAGGAGCTGCCGGTACTGGGATGGACCAGGGTGAGTCCTGGCTAGCCCTGCCAGCCCAGTTAGGACCACCTGCACAGGTGGTAGAGGACCTGATACACAAAGGGAATGTGTGAAGTCAACTGCAGTTCACTGACAAGTGAAAACGAAATATGGCACTTAAGCACTCTGTTGATTTTGTGTTGCACGGCTTAAGGAGAGAAGGAATCATGAAGCTGAGATGAACCTGCAAAACTTTAAAAGCTGAAATCTTTCCCAGCTGCAACCTACTCTAACTTCCATGGAAAATTACAAAGGTGTATCTCCTGGCTGTGGCTGCAAGACCGCTCAGCATTTCAATCAAGCGATCAAACACCTGCTTCTTATCTGGCCAAGGCCACAGCTCGGTGTTGCGTCACCCACTTCTCTAACATCTGAGGGCAATGAGAAGCACCTGTGTTGGGAAAGAGGGTGTTCCTTTTATGGCACTTATTTACAAAACAGTCTCATTATTGCTAAGCCTTTATTCTCCTTTTCTCAGATCCTTTTGAGCACAAATACAATGACATTGTGGAGAAGACATTTGTTGCTTTGAAGATGACAAAAAGATGAGACCTTAAAAACAAGCAACTGTGGACTCATTCATGTCTTCCGTTTTGCCTGCAGCAGTCCCAGAGGGGGAAAGTCCACTTTTCATGTTCGGCTGCCTATGGTCACAGCTGCTGTAGGAGTGCAATCGTATGGCTCAGTGCCTAGATTATGCACATAGCACCAGTGCCTGAAACACCCTCTGAATCGCCGTGAAGGTTTTTGCATTTTAAATGATCAGGCGTATGCTCCTGTAGGGCATCCATTCTTAACACGGGAGATTTGGGGTGGGTGAAATGAGTGAAATGGTGGGTGGAGGTGCTGGAAACTGATAGCGGAGGCACATATTTCTCCTTAAACTTGTGTCCCAGCCAGCCCCATCCTTAACCAACTTCCTCCCTTCTAGCATTCTTTCCTAGAAGCCACAAGATAATTTCAGCTCTGAAGTGCAGAAGATTATACTTGTTTGCATGCCCTGAAACATATAACACAATAACACTTTCTTTTTTTTTAAAAGCAAGATGATTCATTAGTATGGTAGTCAGTGAGATGCTTGAGCAAGTTATTTCATTTTCTGCATAGGCTGGAGTCATGATTGTACAGAAGGGTTGTTCTTGTGTTGTTGTTGTTTTACAAAAAAGTAACACTGAAAGATTAGTTTTCCTATGACCCACTGCATGCAACAGCATGTGGGGCTTAACGCTTGTGCAGAGTTTAAGGGCACATAGACAGTACATGTGTATATAGGCTCAAAAGTGGTAGGCAGCTATGCACAGGAACCCTGCATGCCCACAGTTGTCCTTAGGTCCATGTGTCAAGGTTCGCTAAGATCCGACAAGTGATAGCCAGGGTCAGGAGCAAGAAAGTTCTTGGCCGGTGGGGGTCAAAGGCAAGTGGTATGATCTACAGTGGGCAAAAGTCAGTTCTCAGAATGGCTGCTAGCAGGCAGATGGGACAGAGGTAACCAGTGTCATCTAGAAAAGCAAACGGTCGAGTTCCAGAGGCAGAGGGTTCTGTGAAGGAAGGTGAAGAGCAGAAATTCAGCCTGGCAGGTTCTTCTCAATGGGAGTCGGGTTGTTTAGGGTGGGCCGAAGAGGATGTCCTGGGGTAAAGGCTTGACAAGGCCAAGTGGAACTGCACTTATTCCACCTGACTGGGTGATGCACCAGGCCAGTGGGTCTTCTAATGCTTTCTAGGTTTGTATAGTAAAAGCCATGGTTTTCCCAGTAGTGATGCATGGAAGTGAGAGATGGACCATAAAGAAGGCTGATCGCCAAAGAACTGATGCTTTTGAATTATGGTGCTGGAGGAGACTCTCCCATGGACTGCAAGAAGATCAAACCTCTCCATTCTGAAGGAAATCAGCCCTGAGTGCTCACTGGAAGGACAGATCCTGAAGCTGAGGCTCCGATACTTTGGCCACCTCATGAGAAGAGAAGACTCCCTGGAAAAGACCCTGATGTTGGGAAAGATGGAGGGTACAAGGAGAAGGGGACGACAGAGAACAAGATGGTGGGACAGTGTTCTCGAAGCTACCAGCATGAGTTTGACCAAACTGCGGGAGTCAGTGGAAGACAGGAGTGCCTGGCGTGCTCTGGTCCATGGGGTCATGAAGAGTCGGACACGACTAAACAACTAAACAACAACAACAACAACAGAGGACACCTCTGGGTAAAGCAAGCGATTCCTTCAGCAGATGGGCTGCATTGGTAGTAGAGGAAGAAAGGCACTGGGTCTTGGTTGTCTGTGTGGAATACTAGTTTGAGACCCCTATCAATGAAGTTGATCTGAGAAACCAGATCAACAATGACCCAACAACAAAATGTTTCCCAGCACTGACAGGTAGCAGAACCTGGAATTTCGCCATACTAAACATTTATCAGCATTTTACTTTGCAAGGAAGAACTAATTTTTTGAGTCCTTGCAGTAAAGGGTGAAGGAGATCTCAGCGACAAGAGCTTGTATCCGAAAGCTGCAAAAAATTCACAATGCAGTATCTTCAAGCATGTGCCGTGCTATTCCACCACCCCATTGAGTAACTACCACCTGACACTCTGCCCCCTGGAAAGTAAAGCTTTCCTGAGAACACTGTTTCCAGCAGGCTTAAGTCAATTTCCATGTCTACTTAAAAACTAATTGCTGGAGCTGACAGGAAAAAATCAGAAGACCCAAGTATTACAACAGTTCCACTTGCACTTTACTATTCTTCTATTTTTAGTTTTCATTCCAAAACCCGACACCCAGGAAATCTAAGGAAGGGGAATACTTTAACTAAGCAATGCAAAACCAAGCAAGAAAAAAAAAGAGAGAGAGAGAATTATTTGAGCATTCTACACCAGTGCTAAGACAGCAGACTTGGAAGTTGTGTATTGTTGGACAGGATGTAAGGAGCTTGCCAGGCACAGCCCACAAAACCCTGCTAATTAACTGAAATGATTGTGTTTGTTTTGGAACCATTTAGCCAACAAAGGAATGTGTCACACCGATTAGCAAGAAAAGGGTATGTAATATATGTGCATTCAAAGCCAGATGAGTGCATTATCCAGGTATTTGCTCTGTTTGCTCAAGGATTGACAAAGAATGAATGCTGAGCAAACAGCCTCCATGCAAATGGAAACTCCAGCTCTTTAAAAGCGGACGGGGGTGTCCTTCGGCCCGGAGATTTATCTGTCTCAGGAAGAGACAGGCCTTGAGAAATCACATCTGGAAATGGACCCACAGAAAAACTACTTTTCTACTAGAACTTGTTCTCTCCCTCAGCCCCTGTGAGGATGCCATTATATCAGGATGGTCGTCATCCAGTGCTGACCCTCTTGCAGGTCTTGGCAAGGGCACCTGAGACTCATCGCTTTGCTTTCTTCTTTGTCAAGCGGAAAGGTCAAGGCAAAAAGACAAAGGGAAAATATATGCAAAGCAAGGTGCAAACACACTTCAATTCCTGGTCATCCAAGAATGCCGTGAATGCAGGGGAACTCTTTCACACAGTACAAACAGCTTCTTATTAAGGCAATTTATTGTTGGGGGTTTTTTTATATACCACTCTAACAGAGGCTCAAGATTTATTAAAACTCTAGTTTTGCACTCTTTTAAAACACAAGAGGCATTCATTTTGTTTAGATTTAGTGAAGCTGAACACATGCAAGTGAAGGAGCAGAAACAAAGACATTAGGATAACAGTAAGTTCATCACAATTCACATGTGTTAATATTTATTTTCATCTCCATTTAGGGGCAAAGCTTTAGAACACTAATTTGTGGATCTACAAAACTGTAAATGTTATATATCCCTCTTAGATGGTTGTGGGAGGGGGTGTTAGTGAAACTTGCTGAACATGCCAGCTTAAATTACCCCGTCCTTCTTCCCGAAAAAAACAAGAAAAACTCTAATGAAAGCTCCATAGCTAAAACAAAACCTAAGGTTTTCCCACCCAGGAATAATGTTTGGTTGAAGGGACTCAACCTTCTCAATCAGTTTTGGGCACCTACTCCAATTCAAAGGCTATGCATTGTTTTTTGCTGCAACGGACTAACAAGGCCACTCCTCTGAAATTCAATGCCAGGGCTTGTGTTTGCTGATATGACGGTATAAACCTTTCAGGAGAACTACCAGCAAGGGGAATATCACTGTATGGTATTCTTTGCCTACTCAAAAGTGGAAATGCAGAATCAGGCGCCAGGGTCCAACTTGTTCGTAACTCTGCCATCCTAGCAGGGGCTCAGGGTACAGAGGGCTATGCACATCCTAAGGAACAGAGTAATATAAGAACTAGAACAGAACATCTGAATCCTAGTTAAATGGGGCAAACATTTAAGGCAACGATTACCTAAATAAGGGAATGCAACCCTACCAACAGAAATCTCAATATATTGAAATATTTGTGGGGGTTTTCTTTAGGATGGGGGCAAGGGCACATAAGCCCCTGTTTCATATCAAGTTGAAACACCCCACCTCCTCCTCCCCCAATATAATGGACAAAGAGGGTTATACTTTAAATCAGAGTGAAACATAGAATCTGCAATGACTGGGGCTGCCAAGACCTGTCTTGGAATTAAAAGGCAGCCCACTTGATTTCTTTTAACAAACCTAAATTCAAAGCATTGCCTATGTGGCAATCTTATGAATGAATCCTATTTTAAAAAGAAATAGACTATTACATCTATTAATGGGCAACCTGCTTTCTATCAACACAGTGCCCCAACAAAAGAACATTATCCAATATGCAGACAGATAATGTTCAAACTAATTGCCAAAATAAAAATTAACTGATCAAACTAATTCACTTTTGTTACTGAACCACAACTTCACTGGTACAGCAATATTAAATATTATTTTGAAAATGATGTGGTTATATCAGTGTCATTAAATCTGTTTTTGTATTGAACATGTACACATATATATTACTGGCTGCCAGTGTAATAAGCACCAACAGAAGTCATTACACCCAGATATCACTGATCTGAGATGTACTGCAAATTCTCTCAGGGCATTTAAGATTTCAGAATTCTAAGGCATTTAACCTGTGATTTTAATGCACAGCAAACACTCAGAGTAATCAAATCATTCTGCAGAGAAACTACATGCATTGCACTGGGAAACCTTCTTACATCAAGTATTTTGCTGCTTTCATTATCCTCACGAGTCCCTTGCAGATATCTTTGCCTTATATAGCCATGGTCTTAGTTCTCCTTAATGCTTTTTCATTCACAACTTTCCGTCCTAGAAATTACTGTTTTGCAAGTGTTCTCTTTCCTTTCTTAATCAGTGTTTGCACAGTTGTGCTGTACACCTCATTTAATATACGTTCAGGGCTTGGACCTCATACTAAAAACAAGGTACTGAAACAAAACCAGGGAAAGATGAGGCAAATATTAGCAGTAAAAGAGGTGCCAGTCAAAAATCTCAGTAAAAGGTGGCCTTGGGCTGCAGTGGCACAGAACTCTTCTCCCAGCTGGGAAGAAAAACAACTCTCAACAAATTATGCTAACAAAATAATCCTGGCCATCTCACAAACTGCCAACAATGCCCAAGGGAGGATCAACATCATGAATATACAAAACTTAGTTATTTATGACTCACTCCTGGACACACCATTGAAAAACTCAACTGGGGTGACATAAATAAATAAATAAATAAATAAATTTTATTTGTATCCCGCTCTCCCCAGCCAAAGCCAGGCTCAGAGCGGCTAACATCATATAAATAAGACAATATGCATAATACAATATACAATATGCAAATAAAATAACATTCAACATTCAGTAAAATAATATTAAATAATATTAAATATCAGCATTTCAAAATTAAACAGAAATCCACTCAACAATTACAATAAGTAATTTCTAAACTCCAATCAATAAAATAACACAACAATAAAACAACAGCAAACCACAGTGCACAACATAATACACAAACCACAGTGCACAACATAGATGTTTTACCTGTGCCTGAATGACACAGGCATGATATGCACTCAGATTAAGGGATAAACATGCATGTGTGAATCAGCCCCAACATGCAGCCTGGTCAGCTCCTTTATCTAACAATCCCCGAGTCCAATATGCAGCAAGATGATGTGCCCAGTTGCCAATGCACAACTACTTACAGGCTGATGAAAGACAAGCGTCAAGTGCCTTTCTCCTTTTCTCCTATCCTCAGGCTTCCCATACGTACAGGGGGCCATGAGAAGGGAATAGACAGTCTGGATACTGACCCCCAGAAAAGCTAAATATTCTTGAAACTTGTCAGCTCGGGATAGGCAGGTCCCATTAACCTTACCTTGCCTAGGGCCTCTAAAATATCAGACTTGCATTTACAATCTGAACTGCTTAGAAATAAATGTCTTAAGGAATTTTAATGGTCAGATTGTGAAAGTCCCTCTTGAGTTCACAAGTCCCCTTAAGGCCCCTTTGTGTGTTATGTACACTGTTGTGCTTGCTATAACTACACGTGTCTAGTCGTTTGCATTTACACACCGCAGGGAGCGGTGCTGAACTCCAGTTCCCTGGTGCATGTACATGTGGTGAAGCAGACCAAAGCATGATGGTACATACCCCATGAATGTGCACACTTTCCACTTGTACTGGCTACAAATGCAAGTAGCAGCTGCGGTGGGTGATTACTGGTGGTGATGGTGAGAGGGAGTTTAACTGTAGTCCACATGAAAACCACTCCTTTGAAGCTGCTATTTGCACGGAGAGGAAATTCCTCCATTGGTATGAAGATGCATTTAATGTTGTGCCTCGTTTGGCCTTCATAAAAGGTTTCCACATAGAAAGGAGGTAAGCTGAACTCTTGCTCATATTTGCATCAGCCCTCTCATCATTACTGTAAATGTACACACATGCAAAGCAACACATGAAATCACCGTCCTTTACCTGCTTGTAGAAATGTCCTCAAAGGGGTACAGGATCTCGCCGTTGTTACAGATCTCGCAAATGAATCCCTTTTGGCTACAAAGGCTGCAGTTGTAGACATGGGAAGTGGCAAATTTGATTACCTTCCCAAGGAAAGGGGCCAGCTTCCCTTCAATAACCTGCAAAGCAACAGAAAAGAGACCCCATCACCAAGAATCAGCAACAGAAATGACTGGACATTATTCGTGTGTCTCATTACCAAACTAAAACACAATTCAGAGTTGATTAAACAGTGAAGGGCTTGCTGCAGGATGGGGTGAATCATGCAATTCCGGCTGAAGAATGCCAAATAAAACCCACCTACAGCAACAAGGTAACAGAACATTAAAAGGTAATTTTACACCTGTTTGGAGATGGGTAAAGTTAGATTGTTTAATTCATTTACTTACAATGCTTGTCTGTTTTTATTTTACTAGTGTTTTTCTTCTATTGTTTTACTCAACTGATAACAATGGAAGAGTTATATATATATAATTTAAGAGGCATGCAATGGCCCTAGTATGTGAAAATCCACATTTGAATGTTCGCTTAAATGTGCCGGTTCCCTCCACCACGTGACTCAATACTAGCAGTCTTTCTGTTTACTCAAAATGTTGAGTATCCAATTACTAATGCCAAAACAACTGTTTTAGTAATGATTACTGGTAATTACTGGTACGTAATTATCACCGTGTCTGTATTTATTGTGTTCCATTTACCTCTGCCCTCACTATCTTCAATCTCCTCCCGAACCTTGTGTGTGTGTGTATTCTGCTACTCACGGTAATATTGTGTACTGTAGTCCACAAAAACTTAACACTGTAATAAAACTGTTTGTCTTTAAGGTGCCGCAAGACTCAAAACTTAAAGCAAAATAAGTAAATGCAGATTCTGTAAGAATGCTCACCTCACTTATGCTAAATGTATTTCTTATTCTATATGTATTTCTGAAGGCCTAAACTGCAGCACATACACTAAATGGAAAAATGTAGGCAGGAAAGGAAGTTCATGGGATGGCTTGGGTCGCTGCCACGGGATGGAAATGCTGAAAAGCCCTCGTTCTTGTAAGAACATCTGTGGCAGCAGGAAGCTGAAATGTTATTGCTAGCCATGCAGACTCGACATCTGTTTGTACTGCACGGAAAGGTGATGCTTTTATTGTGTCCCGCTATAGAATGATGGCCTCACTCTGGACCTTAAACAATTCACAAAGGTCACTGCGGGAAGGTGCGGTTCAAAGCCAGGGATCTGATACTGCTCTATTATAACAGACGGTCAAAGTCAGTACTATAAGCAACTTTTAAAAAATCTCTTCCTTAATTAATTTTGGTAATAAGAGTCAAAAGTCTAAACTGGTTAAGGGGAAATGATGTCCAACAAATATGAGGAAACGCAAGGAGCAGCAGATATGTTAGTGATAGAGCATATACACTTGCAGATTAATGTAAACAAAGAAATGCAGGCCGGAACAGAGGAAAAGCGAATGATGCACCAGGATCAGTAATATCCAGCATTAAACAATTCAGTCTCAGCCTTACCGTATAGCCAATAGGCTGCAATAATAAGTTCTTAAAATAATAACACGCAAATTGATATACACAGAAGTGCACGATCTCCATGCTTTACTAAGAAACCAGTACTGGAGGTTTTGCAGGATCTGGATTAGTTTGGAAAGGATGTTTGTCAGCAAAGACAAGTGTGTGTCCATGTTAGGGGTAGAAAAGGGGGAGGGGTGTTAAGAGATATTAAGACAGCATCTTAAAAAGCAGAGACATCACCTTGCCAACAAAGGTCCGTATAGTTAAAGCTATGGTTTTCCCAGTAGTGATGTATGGAAGTGAGAGCTGGACCATCAAGAAGGCTGATCACCGAAGAATTGATGCTTTTGAATTATGGTGTTGGAGGAGACTCTTGAGAGTCCCATGGACTGCAAGAAGATCAAACCTATCCATTCTGAAGGAAATCAGCCCTGAGTGCTCACTGGAAGGACAGATCATGAAGCTGAGGCTCCAATACTTTGGCCACCTCATGAGAAGAGAAGACTCCCTGGAAAAGACCCTGTTGTTGGGAAAGATGGAGGGCACAAGGAGAAGGGGACGACAGAGGACAAGATGGTTGGACAGTGTTCTCGAAGCTACCAGCATGAGTTTGACCAAACTGCGGGAGTCAGTGAAAGACAGGCGTGTCTGGCGTGCTCTGGTCCATGGGGTCACGAAGAGTCGGACACAACTAAACGACTAAACAACAACAACAAGAGATATTATTTATCTATTCATTTAGGAATCACTTCCCGTGAGGCATCTTGAGGTACTCGGTGGGTAAGGCTGCATGCTACTGGCTGGGAGGCAGAGACCGGCTGACAAGCAATCTTTGAAAATTCTGGCCAGAGCAGAATTTTTTGCAGACAGCACTTGTACCCTTGCAGTCAATTGTCTCTAGTCAGAGGCTACTTGCTGGTACCTAAAAAGAAATGCAGTGCCATCCAGTTGCAAACCACTGAGTAGAGAAGGACTGCGCCATGACTTACATAGTTGCAGATGTGGACAGGATAACGCACTGCAAAGCTGGAACATGCTTTGAACATACAAAACAGTCGTGCTGATGTGGTTCAGCTGCATTAATGTGTTTAACAGGTGGTTTCTAGAATTCAGGAAGACAGGATGTGGAGCAGGCACCCCCAACCTTCGGCCCTCCAGATGTTTTGGACTACAATTCCCATCATCCCTCCTGTTAGCTAGGGATCATGGGAGTTGTGGGCCAAAACATCTGGAGGGCTGCAGGTCTGGAGGGCTGCCCAATTTGGAGGCTTTTTGACTTTGTGATTTTTTGTTTTGAGAGTCTGAAAGATGAATAATGTGACCTTCTTCGATTTGTAAGGCAGACTAGGTAGTCAGACTATATCTAGCAATAGAGGGCTTTGAAGTTTTTTTGGTTTGTTTTTAAAGCAAGTCTGTGATGATGAGAGTTGTACGGTTGATCATTTTACCTATGTGTGTTTGCGGAATGGCAAGCATGCGGTTTATTACTTCCTGGAAGTTTTGCATAGCAGGGAGTGATAGAAATATATAAAACAAAAAACCTGAAATACAACCGCATTAGCAGAGCTTTGAGTTAATGATTGTATGCTGTAGCGGGGCTTCCTTGTGCGCAAGCACCCTTAGGATTGCACTGCTAAATAGTTTTATTATTATGAATATATCTAATAACCTGCAATACAGTCTTGAATGTATGTTTTATATTATCTTGCAATGTAACGTACCGTATTTTTCGCTCTATAAGACTCACCAGACCACAAGATGAACCTAGTTTTTGGAGGAGGAAAGAAAGGAAAAATATATTCTGAATCTCAGAAGCCAGAACAGCAACAGGGATCGCTGTGCAGTGAAAGCAGCAATCCCTCTTGCTGTTCTGGCTTCTGGGATAGCTGCACAGCCTGCATTCGCTCCATAAGACGCACACACATTTCCCCTTACTTTTTAGGAGGGAAAAAGTGAGTCTTATAGAGCAAAAAATACGGTATGTTTTACAGTGTCAGAATGCTTTAGTCATGTTTAACAAAGGTGCTTTGCACAATTCTGTACCCTTTTCAGTACAGTATGGGATTTCCTTGCCTACCGGTCACCATGGTGTGCTGTAGTTTGCTGTTCCATTTATTTAATGCCTGCAGAGAAGAGGGAACACTTAACAGCCAAAGTTGCCGTTTACAAAAATAACGCACTGGGGAAATGAGTACAAATAGCTTCTATAGAAAAGGCCTTAAGGAAGTCTCATTGAAAGCTGTACTATACAAAGAATGTTATCTCCGTATCTTCACAATGTATTAGGCATACGCCTAACATAGTCAAAGTACAACTAGAGAGCTAAATCAATACATGGTGAGAACTTCGCAGGGGAGGGGTAGGGAAACATTGACTCAGCAAGCAAATATTGTGCCTATATTTTCTGAATGTGGTGGCAACACTGTCCATTGTTACTGTTCTATGCCAATGAGGCTTCCCACCCACTCCCCCAAATAACTGGGCAGAAATGCACCCTAAATTAACTTACTAAGCCACTTGCAAGAAGATCAAACCTATCCATTCTGAAGGAAATCAGCCCTGAGTGCTCACTAGAAGGACAGATCGTGAAGCTGAGGCTCCAATACTTTGGCCATCTCATGAGAAGAGAAGACTCCCTGGAAAAGACCCTGATGTTGGGAAAGATGGAGGGCACAAGGAGAAGGGGACGACAGAGGATGAGATGGTTGGACAGTGTTCTCAAAGCTACCAGCATGAGCCTGACCAAACTGCGGGAGGCAGTGGAAGACAGGAGTGCCTGGCGTGCTCTGGTCCATGGGGTCACGAAGAGTCGGACACGACTAAATGACTAAACAACAACAACAAAGCCACTAGCTTTGTTCATCCTGACCGGCCTCAACAATATATTCAGAGTATGCTAAATGCTTACCATTGTTAAACACGGCCAACTAAAGTTTTATAGCAGGGAAGTGTCTCCATGTTGTGGCAGCTCCACATGGGACCATGTTGCGTGAAAGGAACTCAGCAGCCTGGGAAAGTCTCCAGACCAGCACTAGCAGGCCACCAGGAATGTGTGCAGTTCTGAAGAGCAGTACTCTCTGTGGAAGGAAGGAGTCTCCTTCCCTCTTTCTCTCTCTCATGGGACAATCCATGTGGAGAGCAGCTTTCATATCTTAGGTGGAGTCAACACCACAGAGAAGCACTTTCGGTGAACTTTACACATTGATTCCGTCGTGTTTGAACTGGCCTGCATTTGACAACTCTTCTCTGAGTTAGGGGGAGGCAAAGTCAAGAGATATGGCGGGAGCTCAAAACTACCCAAGGAACGTCATGGCAGAGCTGAGAGTTTGATCCACATCACCCTGTCCACTGAACTAATGTTTTGAGTGCTAGGCTGGCTGTCCCTCGTGATATTACCTGAAGGGCCTTGCCTGCCTCCTTCCATCTGGGCAGAGAGGGCTCCGTTTTTGTTTTTTAAATTGCTTTTATTTTTTATCTTTGTCATTTTAAATTGTAATTGATATTAAAGCTGTGTTCTTAGTTTTAGATTTTATGATTTATGTGGAAATAGTTTTCCATTTGGTTGTGTACTTTTTGATGTGTTTCATTTATTGCTTATGACTTTTGTTGCATTGGTAATTATGTAAATCTTGTCATGTTGTAAGCCGACTTGAGCATCGTTTTAACGATGGAACGGCGGCATACAAATAAAATGGTTATGATGGTGTTTAAAATTATGGAAGCTTAAAAAGAAAATGCCCCCAAAAGGTCTGTTCAAGGCCTGCCATTTAATGAGAAATGCACAAGCAAAAAAGAAGAGGAGGAGGAGGAGGAGAAGAAGAAGAAGAAGAGTAGAAGAATATTAGTAGGTAAAATATAAAGTTTCACAATGTTTGATCATTTTACTGAGCCTGATTTGCTAGCTCACCGATACTTCAAGGCAGCTAACCTTGAGCTGGGCATCTCCAGGAAAAGGCAAGTGGAGTTCAACAAAGAGAGGTTAAGCCTGCATTTACCCTCTTTAATTTTAACGAGGGAGCATTGTGTTTTGTGAGGTTGCAGGTTAGGGTTAATAATTGAAGCTAAAGAGGCGACAAAGCCTACATACCAAAGTGCTGTTGCCACTGGGAAGACAGTGCAGAGTCTGCAAATATCTTGTGACCCCACCCTTGTAAATCAGCATGTTAATCATTATCATCATACTGACGATAAGATTCTTTGTAAGTCAACACAGAGGCTGTAATTTCAACCGTCCGTTCACAATCTGAATTATTTCCGTTAAGTTAGCTTTTATTAAGAAAGGGCTCTCCTGGAAATACTGGTTGGCTTGTTAACTTCTTTTGACATTCTGGGACTTTCAGATTTGAAAACATGTGTGATTTGCTTCCTAAGTAATGCACCAAGTTAAGCGGCCACAAGCACTGGCGTTTTGCTAAGTCTAGGAAAAAGGAGAAGCATGGATTATGGTAGCATACCACACTTTTTCCAGACTGAAACTGGAAATAGCGGCTGTAGGTGACAGAATAGTGTGGTGTTTATAGAATTTAGCAAAAGAGGAAACAGAAGGACTGGACAGTGTGCAATGCACAGCCAAAGACCGTAGAGGACTCTCCTCCACCTGCAGGCGGTGTCAAGAGTGAAAACATTAAGACGCAAAGGTTTAGTTTTAAAAAAACCACCAATGTTTTAAGCTATTTCTTTGTCCACCACTTTTGCAGCATGGTGGTGTAATTTTCTAGATCCATTTCAGTTGGGGTTTAGGCCTGGTTTTGGCACAGAAACTGCTTTGGTCGCTTTGTATGACCTGTATAGGGAGAGAAACAGAGTGTATGTTGTCCCTGTTCTCCTTGACCTCTCAGCGGTTTTGGATAACCACAGTATCCTTCTGCAACGCGTCATATAACTGCAACATGCTATATGTAGAGCTGCCTTTGAAGACAGTTCAGAAACTTCTGCTAGTGCAGAAATGGGTGGCACGGTTGCTCCCTAGGGCGAGATGGCCTGAGCATATTACACTGATGCTGGCCTGACTGCACTGGCTACCAATTAGGCCCCAGGCCCAATTCAAAGTGCTGGTTTTGACCTATAAAGCCTTAAATGGCTCAGGACCGCAATACCTCAAGGACCGCCTCTCTTCATATGAACCTACCTGGACCCTGAGATCATCCTTTGAGGCTGTTCTTTGTGCGCCTCCTCCATGAGAGGTCTGGAGGGTGACAACACCTGTTGCTCTCCACTTGTGGGGTGCTCTCCCTAGGGAGGTTCGGCTGGTGCCTTCATTATACTTCTTTTAGGTGCGAGGCAAAAACATTTCCTCTTGATCGACATCCTATGCCCTTTTAATTGTGTTGTGTGTGGGGGGGGATATTGGTTTGTTGTTGGTCTTATTTTTACTATGTATTTTGTGATTTTCACGTTGTGATTTTATTTTGTGAACTGCCTGGGGATCTGCAGATGAAGGGCAGCATGCAAATTCAATTAACAATGATGATGATGAAGAAGATAGATAGATAGATAGATAGACAGACAGACAAAATGTTGGGCCTGGATATGGGAAGTTCACCTTCAGTTTTCCACCTGAACCACAACACTGGTTGGAGCAAGTGACTATATAGCACCCTCACTTACTGCACAAAAGAAGTGTTGCGAGGATAAAATGAGATAAGGAATGTATGGCACCTAGCTGGCTCCTATGGGCTAAAGCAACCGTAGCTTAAAATATTACGCAAACTGCCAGGCCTCTCACAATTGTGCATTAGAGCAAAGACCTGATTACGCAAGATTGCTTTTCTGGGCTTGTTGCCTTCTCACAATATTTAGTTTACGGTCTTAAAAGGATTAAAGCGACACCAAATGCCAATTAAGGACTGGCCCACCTCGTGGCAGCGCTTTCCTCCTATCTGGCTGGAGGGGAGCCGCACCCTTAGCAGAGGCCTTGGATGAAAAGAAAGCAGGGTTCAGTAGCACCTGGGCTCGCTTCCTTGATTGCTGCCTGCTGCTCGTTTCCACTCCGCAAGGTGCTGCTGCTAGGCCAGAGGCAAGACACCTGGAGCCTGTAGAGCAGAGGTAGCCAATGCAGCGCCCTGCAGAAGCGGCTGAACTACAGTTCCCAGCATCCCTAGCCACTGGCTAGGCTGGTCAGGGCTGATGGGAGTTAAGAGTCCAACATCATCTGGAAGTCATAACGTTGGCTACCTCTGCTGCAGAGGCGGCAGCAGCTGTGCCCACATCGTATTGTAGGCCTACGTAGGAAATAAAGAAGCAATAGCCGGCATCTAGTGGGATTGTGTAGCTGGACCAGCTGTTGTGCTCAGCACATGATAAGAGAAATGGTTTTATTTCATTTATTTATTTTCATTAAATCCTATGTGTGACTAACCACCGTTTCTTTGGTTAAAGATCAGACCCGCTGAGCCATTCTTATTTGCACCCATGGTGCTTTCCAAATCATGAAAAGAATAAATGGCATTACTAGTAGTTTGACAACTTTACCAGAATTATGTTCCTCCTGCTTCACACCTTCCCTTTTGTGCTACACTATTCTGTTCATGGAGCACAGGAGCATTAAAGGCTATTATGGAGTGGATTTGTCTTCAATTGTCCTATAAATTACACTGCAACAACCACCACCTGGGGCAAAACACCTGTCCATTCAGCAGCTTTTAAAGCCACCTTGCATATTGCATTCACACAATTCCACTGGTACAAGGAAAAGCTAGTTTTCTTGGTACTAAAATGGAACCAATGTGTGGCGTACAGCTAATACAAGGTTTGTTCAACAAGGTTCACCATGTGCAAATGCATGGAAAGCAGCGTTACTATTACCTGGGAGTAAGCCCGATTCAACTCAATGTGACTTACTCCTAAGTAAACACGGTTTATCATTTATTAGCAGGACAAGCCTAATCAGAAGCTGCTCGCACTGAGCTAAATGGGGCTTTCTTCAAGGTAAGCGGGTTTAGGACTGCAGCCTAAATTCATGTGCATTATGGAGTGCTAGCATCAGGCACCAGACCTGTTGGCAGACCAACTATGAGTTATACAGGTGTCTGCAAACATGACATAAAGACTGGCAACATTAACCCTGCCACGTGAGAATCCCTTGCAGATGACCACAGTGCCTAGATACACTTCTTTTCTAATAGAATCCATTCAAACTGATTTTCTTCCAGGGATATGGTTTCAAGGAACATGAGGCATTTTGCTCAAGGTAAGCAGGTCTAGGGGTGATCAGTGCCTGGATGTGAGACTTCCTGGGAACCACATGTACACTGATTTGGGTCCCATGGATGTTAGACAAATCAAGAATGTCACACTTCCTGAATAAGGATCTGGCTAGGGCATCACTAAGAGCACCTAAAGGGCATAGCTGTCAACGTTTCCCTTTTTTTAAGGGAAATTCCCTTATTCCAAATAGGATTCCTCGCAAGAAAAGGGGAAAGTTGACAGCTATGCTAAAGGGTCCTGATCTTCTTCCAACCTTATCATTTCACCATTTTGACTGAAATGGCATGGCCTGTTTTCTCACTTAAGAAGAAAGGAAATTGTGGAGGGGGAAGGAGAGAGTGAGAGAGAGACTTTCTGGGCTGATAATAAGGATCCAGCCGGATTAAAAGCAGAATCCAATTTAACGCACCCGAGCCACAACTGTAATTGAATTACATGATGAAAGGTCTGGGGTGCAGAAAGGGAAGGAAATAATGTAAATGTATATCAGGACAAAGAAATCTGTCAGAGTAGCAGCTAAATAAATGCGTGCAGTATGACTCTTGCAAGCCTCCATCCCTCCCAAGGAAAGTTTGATAAGCTACTGATCACTTCTTGAAAGTCCGCTATCAATATTTGGCGCTAAGCAGCTTGCAAGGCATTGGAGATTACGAAACCGGCAACTGGGGAGACTGACACCCCAAGTTTAGGCCACTTGCTCTTCTGCAGTTTGATTATCTGAAGAACAAGGCACTTACAAAAAGCTTCACGAAGACCTCTGCTCTTTGGCTTTTCCCTTGAACCGGTTTGCTTGTTCCTATCTCACAACTCCGCAAGCAGACAAGTCACTTCCGCGATACAGGCGCTCAACAGCATTTAATGATTATTCATTAAAGCATTTTATGTAATGCTTTTGGAACATTCAAAATCAGTTCACACACATGAAATCTTTACAATAGCAATGTAAGCTAGACTAGTATTTTAAATCTCTAACTTACAGGTGGTGTTCTGAGCCTGACAGAAGCATGGCCCATTTAAGGTCATTTATGGAATTCATAGATTAAGTCAGATTTAAACTGGGGTCTTCTTGGCTCACAGATAACCCCTTAACCACTTATATCGGCTCTCATTCATGAGCTTCTAACAAAATGTACGAGATCCTTTGCCCTGTATCTTTACATCCATGTAGGCTTTATTCCGGTTAAGGACATAAAAGGTATCAGCTCATCTGCCATTAACTGCATTAATGGCAATAAATCATCATCACTGATATTCTGGTTATAGATAAGAAGAGAAGAGTTTGGATTTGATATCCCGCTTTATCACTACCCAAAGGAGTCTCAAAGCGGCTAACATTCTCCTTTCCCTTCTTCCCCCACAACAAACACTCTGAGATGAGTGAGGCTGAGAGACTTCAAAGAAGTGTGACTGGCCCAAGGTCACCCAGCAGCTGCATGTGGAGGAGCGGAGACGCGAACCCGGTTCACCAGATTACGAGTCCACCGCTCTTAACCACTACACCACACTGGCTCTTAAGCAATCTATGATTAAGGCATTTCTCTGAGTTACCATTTAGGAAGGCTTCTTGGTCTGGAAAGGCTCACCAAGACATAGCTTGACAAAATCTGTATTCACAGTATGAATAAGGCCCAGCTTCTGGAGAAACTAAATTCAATTACCTGCTGTAGGTCTGCCAAGGAGTACAGGTGGATCTGCTGAAGAAGATACTCTCTAGGGAAAATTCTTGGTGAAAAACAAGAATAAAAAGTGAGTATTTGTATAATTTTCAGAGTACAAAATCTCATACAGAAACTTCTTGTAAGACGATGCAGTGGTACCTCGCAAGACGAATGCCTCGCAAGACGGAAAACTCGCAAAACGAAAGGGTTTTTGGTTTTTTGAGTTGCTTCGCAAGACGATTTTCCCTATGGGCTTGCTTCGCAAGATGGAAACGTCTTGCAAGTTTGTTTCCTTTTTCTTAACACCGTTAATACAGTTGCGACTTGACTTCGAGGAGCAACTCATAGAACGCAGTGTGGTAGCCTTTTTTGAGGTTTTTGAAGACTTTGGTGATTTTTGAAGCTTTTCCAAAACTTTTCCGATACCGTGCTTGGCAAGACGAAAAAAACCGCAAGACGAAAAAACTCGCGGAACGAATTAATTTCGTCTTGCGAGGCACCACTGTATTAAAACACTGAATTCTTCAACATCCATGAGAAAAAAACACCCTTCCACCATCATCCCAATTTTTTTAAAACAGTATTCAGAGCATCTGCATTACTTTCACTGACCACAGCATTTCCTGCAGGCCTACCATTTCCTTCTCACAAAGGAAGGTCTTCTTTAAAACTGGCTGGCACACGGTATGATCACAGACCACAGGATGAAGACTGCAGAGGAAAAACATGCCTCTACAGGTGGTTCCAGCTGCATCTTCTAGAACCCTGTCATTTCCATTTTATCCCAAAGTTTGGAGAAAGACTGGCACAAAATCTGAACCATCCTAGAGACTGGTTGTTGTTGTTTTTTTAGTGCTGAATATTAAAGATTTTTACCCATTCACAAAATTCCACACACCTTTAAACTAAAAACCAAATGACCTCATTTTAAATTGAGAAGTAACAGTGGCATCTTAACAGATCTGTCGTTTTGTATATGCCCACATACAGGGCTTTCTTTCCCAGCCGGAACTCAGTTTCAGCACCTCTCAGGTGGGCACCATTGCTATTATAAGAGAACGCTTTGGGGGGGGGGCATTCATGGTGAGTTTGGGCACCTCTTTTTCTAGAAAAATAGCACTGTGCCACATGTCTGTTGGTTTTGCCTCCTTTTTCTCTGAATAGTTTCTTGACAAGACATGGTTCTCTAACAACGTTAATAACATTCAAATGACAAATATAAAATTTTGTTAGGGACATACGATTCACTTTATGATTGTAAACTGCTACAACAACAACAACAACAACAACAATTTATCATTTATACCCCGCCCATCTGGCTTGGGTTTCCCTAGCCACTCAGACATAGAAGTTCATCCTAGGTTTTTACCACTGCAAAAATAAGAACAATGTACTTCTTGATGAAGAAAAACATCCCAGATTCAAAAGTAGTTATGTCTAAATCTATCAATCATACCCAGGAAAGGAGAGTTGGAAATATTGTTCAAATATAACACACACACACACACATATGTTTGGGGCAAATATGCTATGAAAGCAGCTTCTCAAAGTGACATTGGCAGAGACGTCAAAAGATATCCCACCTTTTTTGGTTCCATAAGAAAGTACTCTATCAAGGATGAAACGCAACAAAGACATATTGGAAGCAACAAAGCACATGACCAGTAAGTGAGAAACCATAAGAAAAGCACACTTATTCCCATTGCCATGGAAACTGGGACAGGGAAGAAGCCTTAAAAATAAGGTCTGCCCAATTTTGTTGACTTTTTATTTTAAACAAAACTCCTATTACTGCAGAAACAGGTCTTGTTCATTTGCAATGGAAGGGAGCAGCAGAATAGCCAAAGCCTACTTCTGATGACAGCACTCCAAGTGCATTAAGAAGCTCTCCTCGTCAAAATCAAAGAGAGCATAAGGCACTCAGTGGCACTAAGATCATGTGCCTAATGGATGGAACCAGTTGCATCCAGGGTCTGAGTGCTTTAAAGGCAACCTTATGAACATCTGCACAGTCAGATGGAGGTCAATTCAGCCAGGACATCTAGTTCAGCGCAATATTTTCTTTGAAGAAGCACCAACAAACATTGTCATTTATTCACATTGAGAAATCAGTTTAGATCTTGGGGGAAAAACTGCATTGCAAAATAGTTTGGTTTAGAAGAAGAACCAGCACGCTTAAACGAATGTTCCTCCTTTGCTGCAACTTTGGCACAGATTTTTTGAAACGCTTTGAGAAATATAAAAGAAGACTGAAACAAAAATCACCGCAGCAGGGAGCCAGCAGAGGTTGTGCCTCTGGGTTCCTTTGGGAGGAAAGGCAGGATATTTATTCAATAAATACATAACAATAATAAAAAGGTGCAGATGGGCACGGCAATGCTTTACTCAGACATAAGCCCCACTGAGTTCAATATGACTTACTCACAGTGTGTATATAACTGCAGCCTAAAGGTGAAACGTCAGTGGGATGCAATATTCTCAGCAACAACAATGGAAGGCAACACCAATACATTAAGAACAACAATAAAAATGGTGCAAGCCAAAGCTGTTTCAATCATTCCAAGACTTCAGGGTTAAGGACGTTGGTTTGTTTACTTAGGGCAGATGTGGAGAACCTGAAGACCACATTACAGCTGTTGGAAAGGGGTGTGCGCCCAAACCTACAACCACACAACCTTTAAACACACAGAGAGCTTTTCCCTTCTCAGAAGGAGGTTTGGTGATGGGGATGTGTACTCTGAATTCCAGACACATCCCATCGCAATCTGTCCGCTGGTGTGGACAGAAAATAGTTCAATCAAACAAAAAGAAATACCGTATTTTTTGCTCTATAAGACTCACTTTTTCCCTCCTAAAAAGTAAGGGGAAATGTGTGTGCGTCTTATAGAGCGAATGCAGGCTGCACAGTTATCCCAGAAGCCAGAACAGCAAGAGGGATTGCTGCTTTCACTGCATAGCGATCCCTCTTGCTGTTTTGGCTTCTGAGATTCAGAATATTTTTTTTGCTTGTTTTGCTCCTCCAAAAACTAGGTGCGTCTTGTGGTCTGGTGCGTCTTATAGAGTGAAAAATATGGTAAATAAAAGCTTCATCATTGCATGGAATGGGCACTGTAGTTTTGCAAGCCACCAAAAAGGGAAAAGGAGGCGGCTTCCGTCTGGAAGCAACTTGAACCTTACTTTTAAGATGGAATGGTGGGAATTCCTTTTTTTTAAAAAAAAGGGGGGGGGGGAGGAAGAAAAGGTGAAGCCTCTTCTGGGTGAACAACTTAAGAAGTGACAGAAATAGAAATGTAGGCTTTTGCCTGTTGGTTCAGGGTGGGATTAGAAACACTACATCTAAGTAAGGAACTTGGGCACCGTGGGCAGTTTCTCGTGTGTTTCCATTTCTTTTTCACTGGCAATTAGTTTGAAGCATGACAATTGTGCAAGATAGAACCAGACATTTCATCCATCCTTGGCTCTCAGCCTTATCAGGGATGTATCTGCACAAACAAAAGGTTATCTGTGACTTTTTGACTGTAAACAGAACCCAAGATAAGGCTTTGTTTTCTGCATTTAGGGCGAAGTTGCAGGGTTTGTAGCTATGTCCCTTTGTTAAGAATAAACACTGTCCGAAGGCATTTAAGAGATGATTTGTCATCAGCTCAGAGTAATTTTTCTGCACTGAATTAAGCACTCTGACAGCTCGGCTAAAACAACTGCAAACAGACCTGCCTAAGACCTATGCAAAAAGCCAAAGTACAAAAGTGATAAGCGCAGAGTAAATTCTGAAGTTCACAGTCTGCAGCTCAATGAAATCGAGGCAGGTGGGCATAAATCAAGGAACTGTTCTTATGAGGATATATAAGAAAAGGATTCAAATACCTTGGTTCTCAAATATTATGTGTTCCAGAAGTCCGTTCGACTCCCGAAACTATTTGAAAACTAAGGCGTGGCTTCCGATTGGCTGCAGGAGCTTCTCGCACTCAAGTGGAAGCCGTGTCGGACATTTGGCTTCCAAAAAATGTTCGAAAACTGGAACACTTACTTCTAGGTTTTCGGTGTATGGGAGCCAAAGCGTATGAGTACCAAGGCGTTCGAGAACCAAGGTACGACTGTACTACTGTATGCAAAAAACAGTTTGATCAAGTGCCATTTTCTTTCAGAACAAATAGTGCTGCTCTTGATCTACCCACTTTTAGAAGTTTATGTCTAGAGTAAATTTAAGCCCAGATCCTTTAAAAAATCTGTCTGACTGTTCAGTCCTATAGACTCGATTGTCCTGCAGCAGTGCAAACTGATTTTGTTTCTGTGCTGGACAACTGAAACAGAGCTGCCCAGCTGCTTCCCCCGCCCTCTTGCCAGACAAACAACTTTAGAGTGAAAAAGAAGCACCAGGCTATGCCGGTGAATTGCATCCTAAGATGACCAAAAGGCTCTTAAGATGTGGCTGCTGGAAGCCCCTTCCCCACCTCTTCTGTGTAGCTTACTTGTTCTTGCTTTTAAAAAAAGATTATTGTATTAAACATTTTGGCAAAAAAAGCAAATAATCTAAAGAAGAGGTCTGCACAAAAATGAAATGTCAATGTCAACAAAGTGAATCCAGAAAGCAAAGTAGTTATAACACAGAACTGCTTAATCATCATCATCACCATCATATTTATATGCCACCCATCTGAATGGCTTGCCCCAGCCACTCTGGGCAGCTTCCAAAAAATATAAAAACACAATAAAACAACATAAAAAAACTTCCCTACGCCCGGCTGCCTTCAGATGTCTCCTAAAAGTAATACACTTGCTTATCTGTTTGATATCTGATGGGAAGGCACACACCACTACCAAGAAGGAACCTGGAACCCCTCTTTTTGCAGTGATGAAATTGCCAGAAGGCCCTCAGAGCAATAAGTTAAGTGAAGGTGAAGTAGAAACCTATGCAGACTTGGCTAATAAGATTTATACTGAGCTAGTTTATTTTGTTCTGAGTTGGCTCCATCATTTATTTTTTTTAATACTGCAGTGCTGTTTTACATTTTGAATATTTGCAATTCAGAATATAATTGGTTGTTCAGAAACATCTTTTAGTGATCTTGTTTCTGTATATCTGAAAAATGAAGTACTGAGCAGGAAGTATTTAAAAGGCTAACCTTTCATCTACTTTGCCACAGAGGCAGTTGCTGTTTCTGCAGGTGCACTTTAAAAGATTGCTGCAAGCTTTTCCTAAAGTGATAAATATAGGCTGGACATAGGTAGAGCCAATTTTTCAAGCAATGCTTCTGCAAGTGAAAACAATTTTGAATCTCAGTGGGATTTTTTAAAAAGGCAATCTCTTATGAAAGAAAAGGGGCATTTGTCATTTTCTAATATCCACTGTTTTCTAAAATCTCTTCTAAAATATGATCAATGCCATTATCTCCTTTGTCATGCAGCAATTTTAGCAATCTTATAAGAAATTCTACATGCCATTTAAAGCTGGTTTTTGGAAAGCTGTGTTACGTCAGTCCTGCAACAAATATAGCATTTCTAGAGTCCCATGATTTTAATGTCACCTATTATTTCAAAATCTGCAGTTTTGGAAATTTGGGGCGACAGATTTCCAGGAGCTGCTCCTGTGGAGAGTATGAACTTGAAAATGCCTTATGCAAATTTTCAACATGGACAGACCTGCAAGTTTGTGAAATCCCAGATTCTAAGTGGTCCTTTTAGGAAAGCCAGTCAACTTGCCTATATATGGTGCTTGTGTACCATAAAATAAATTCACCTATGATGTTATTACCAATCCATGTAACATGTTTGTACATACATGCAGGGCAGGACATACTTGTGAGTGGAATGTTGTTGTGTGAAAAAAGTCCTGTGGGTGAGATGGAGAGACTTGAAGGCCAAGAATGGTTTGGGAGGACCTGGCAAATTGCTCTGGCTGAGAAACCAACTCACCATAGCAAATCAATTACATACATACATAATTTTATCTGTATCCGCTTTTCCACAGTGCAAACCGTGCCACAGGTGGCTTTCAGCATTCTACATAGCAAAAGTAGTCACAAACAATTAAAACATTTTAAAAATACACAAACTGAACATATTCCACATAAATCACAATAGCTAAAATAAAATTACAAAAACCCAAAAAACCCTGCTGTTTAGGGAAGTTTTCAATGTATGATGTTTTATTGTGTTTTTAAGATTCTGTTGGGAGCTGCCCAGAGTGGCTGGGGAAACCCAGCCAGGTGGGCAGGGTATAAATATATTCTTATTCTTATTATATTAAAAGCAAATACCACTTCAGCCTCACGTTCCTTATTTTGACCAGATACACATACTTGATTTGTGGTATTAATTGTGTTGTAATCTTCCATCTTTCACCATCCATCTCCCTCTTAACCATTGGTCAATAACACAAATCTTGGTTGATGGGTTGTTGTTTTTCTGCTTATTACAACTTTTGCTATAAAAGCGAAATGAAAACGTTTTGAAAAACCATCTGTGATTGCATTACCAAGTAGGAAATTAAAAGGGAATCTTAAATATGAACTCTTTTGGAGCTACTTCGAGAGAGACCACTTCTGGTGGTGGTTCCAAGTTGCCATGACGTGAAGGAGAATCACATAGCTCTGCTGTTACTGTTGGCTAACACTTCCACTTTGCTCCTACCAAGGCCGCTGCAATGTTGTGCCACTTTTCCTGGAGAAACTATTGAGAGAAAAGGCCCACCGAGGGCCAAAGGGCCCCCAGAAATGGCACATTGCTTCTAGATAGCTCTATTGTACTGGATAAAGTTAAGCGAGAAACCACCAGTCCATCAGAGCTGACAAGCGCCATGGCCTCTCTAGGGTCAGATGTTACGGACTGTGACAATGCAGCAGGATGCACTCAAACTCAAGCTATTCCCTTTTTTTTTTTTGCAAAGCACTTCTGTTTCTGTACAGTGGTACAGTGGTACCTCGCAAGACGAAGGCCTCACAAGACGGAAAACTCGCAAGACGAAAGGGTTTTTGGTTTTTTGAGTTGCTTCGCAAGACGATTTTCCCTATGGGCTTGCTTCGCAAGACGGAAACGTCTTGCAAGTTTGTTTCCTTTTTCTTAAAACCATTAATACAGTTGCGACTTGACTTCGAGGAGCAACTCATAGCACGCGGTGTGGTAGCCTTTTTTGAGGTTTTTGAAGACTTTGGTGGTTTTTGAAGCTTTTCCAAAACTTTTCCGACACCGTGCTTCGCAAGACGAAAAAACCGCAAGACGAAAAAACTCGTGGAACGAATTAATTTCGTCTTGCAAGGCACCACTGTACCTCGGGTTAAGTACTTAATTCGTTCCGGAAGTCCGTACTTAACCTGAAACTGTTCTTAACCTGAAGCACCACTTTAGCCTCCTGCTGCTGCCGCGCTGTAAGAGCACAATTTCTGTTCTCATCCTGAAGCAAAGTTCTTAACCTGAAGCACTATTTCTGGGTTAGCGGAGTCTGTAACCTGAAGCGTATGTAACCCGAGGTACCACTGTAATAATCTTAGCCTTTATTTAAATAGCCGATGCAACAAGCACCCGGGAATAATCAAGAAAAGTGATCTGATAAATCACCGTAAATACTACTTTGTTCAAAGGGAACACAGAGAACTCCAAGATTTCTTTTCGTTGTCCTACATGTTAGGCTATAGTTGCTTCGGAAATAAACTGCAACTCCAGCGCACAGATTTGGCAGCCATTTCCCCACATTTTCTGTTGTGAACTGCCCTGGGATCTTTGAATGAAGGGTGGTATACAAATCAAATCAAAAATTATTATTATTATTATTAGAAATACCCTTGTGCATTTTAACACACAAGCATGGATAGTAATGAAAACCAGAAGAAAAACAGGAGCAGACTCTTCTCTTTCCCTCAGAAGAAAGGCTATCCATGCTGTAAAAGCAACAGGGTGCCATCGTGATTAATCAGTCCGCTCTTAGTTCTCTCTGGACGGCCCTATTAACAGTTTTGTTTCAGCTTGTTTATACCACACTGACAGGACTTCAAGATGGTGTTCTCAGAGCTGCTGGTTTTTCACATAACTGAAACGAGGAATAAGTGGGAACGGGGTGGGTAATAATTTAACCATGAAAAAACAAACTCCTGGATTACCTCACGTTCTGTAGAAATGGCGATTGTGTTACAAATAAGGGCTACAAAATAGGAAATAACATAGTGGATAATCACTGGCAAGGTTTTCGTTCGCAGAACAAGAAACTAGGAAGTGTGATAAAATCTTGCACACACACACAAAATAATGAGGTTAAAACACACACACACACACAGAGTGAGGCTCACACCATGAACAAAAAGATGGAGAAAGGGAAAAGGATTTATCCTCATGATGAGAATTGTTATGAGGTTTGAGGGCATGGCAGACTGTGTTCAGAGAATTGTCGCTACCAATATGGTTTTATAGTCGAAGGTTAATCCAAGCTGACCTGACGACAAGATAAAATTAAGCTATGTTCTGTTACTCAAACACCTTTTAATTTAGCCCATTGGAAACCTTTTAAAATAATTTTTTCTTCCCGCTGATTTTATTGGCAGCATCATTCCATGTGCCTACCACGTCTTACCCCAACGGGCTATGCTGCAATGCTACTTTCCCCCAACGTTGATAACAATTTGATATTTTCAGTTCTTGGAAGCCCCCGAAAACCACATCCCAACTTCACCCTCCCTGCCTCCAGCACTATGTCCACGCGACTGCTTCTTCCTCCGCCTCTAATCCTCCTTTGTTTGGGCACTTTGTAGCTCCCAGCGGTTCTTATTTTCTCAGGTTTGCTTTTGTTCCTGTGCTCTCCTGAATGCCTCTTCACAGCTTCTCCTGGCCCCTTTTCCATCACCTTTTCCCATCAGCTCTGGCTCTTCATCCGCAGCCAGCATCCTCACCTTCCCCTCTCTGCCCCATGTCTCCAGGCCCTGTTGCTTTTCTCTCTTTGTTTCCTTTGATCTCTTTTCTCCGACTCTCTTCATTGACTTGGTTCAGCCCTCCCTGCCTCTTTATTTTAATCAGAACATTCTTTTATTTTTTTCCCCCTTTGGTGTTAATCAAAAGCAGTAATTTCTTTCTCCGACATCTTTTTCTGAACTGCACCCTCCATAAGCCATCCTGCCTTCATACTAATTGAAAGAGGCACTATTACCAGTATTACAAAATGAAGGAAAGGAAAAAAGCAGAAGATAATGTCGCTTGTGGATGCGTGTGTAAGGGCAAGGCAATAATTTGTAAAGCATTACGTGCACCCTCCTTACAAAGTTGCAGATCTTTTATTTAAAAGAAAGAAAAAGCTCCGTTCAGTCCCCGCAACACACACTTAAACAGGAATGTGGTTACCAGCATCCCCCACCTTCCTGACACTGACGACTCCCCTTAGCTGTTCTTGACATTTTGAACCAAGGCACCGACACAGGTTATCTCCTGAATGGCAAAGATCACTTCCCTTTCATTACTGGCAAAACAAGCAGGTGTCAATTGTCTTTCTTCCCCTACCCTGCAACAGGGCACAATTTAGGGAGGATAGCAGGGAATCATCTATTTATATGAAAGCAAATCCACATTATTGTGTTCTGGCCACCCCACCCCACCCCCACCCCCCACATTCTGGCACACCACAGTGTGACCAAGAGACAGAACCAAGGTACAGTTCCAGTTTTTGGCTTCCTTGGCTCTTAATTATTTCCAGTGAACTCCATGAGACAAAAGAAACAAATAGTTTCTGGGGTTTGTTGCGTGGGTACAAGTCTGAACTTCCCTTCCCTCCTTCTTAGGCCTTGTAAGCTGCGTTCAGTTCAGAGGAGGAGGAGGGCACCATTTCAACAGCAGGCCTTACCCTGTTCCTTGCTCTGCCTGAGGCACCGACCTCGGTGATGGATGGGGGAGGAAAAGTCGGGCAGTAGGTGACTCCAAACCACAGGACTTTAAATGCAGTTCCCCTGGGATGCTAAGAGCTATTGCTGGATTGCCCAGTGGCAATTATATTTCAGACGCATCACTGAAATGCCTCTGCAAATGCACAAACCCCAGCTGAGTGGGAACCCTTCCAGCAGTAGCAGCACTAGCCAAAATAACAGCCATGCTCATGTGCTCAAAGTGTGGTGTTTTGGTGCAGTTCAGTGTCACAGCACATGGTCTGCATGAAGCATTGCCAGGCTCAATCCCAGGCATCTAGAGTTGCAAAGGATCTCATGTGGCAGGGCAGGGGAAAATGGCGATCTTGGAGAATTACAGCAAGGTCAGAATACACCATGTGAGACTAGTTGGATTAATGATCTGACACAGCGAGTCAGTTCCATATGCCTTGTATGTATGTAACTTGTTCCAAAGCCTGCATATTCTATTGCTCTCTAATTGGCATGCAATGACTGCTAAGTTTACATCTGCTGCACAGAAAACCATTCCTGCTGTAAGGCTGTCAGTTTACGGAGCCGCTCTCTTCCCAATATCCTTAAGAGAAGCGCTGGTGAATCAGAGATATGTTAAGGCCGTGGACCATCCAGTTGCATGGGAAGTATCTAGTTACAACGAGTAGGCAGACACAACGGGCCGCACTTTAATTGCTAGGTCATGGGAACCGAGAAGAGGAAGTGAGAGACAGACAAACAGGGGAAGGGAGCCCCGAGGAAGCTTGCCTGATACCCCTTCTTCCTACCTCCTTCGCAGGTCTTCGGCCACTGCTGCTCTGCAGCTGAACAAATAGGCTCGGAGGGATTTCAGCTGCTGTCTCAGACGGACCACCGTTGTCAGTGGCTCAACATGTCTATACAGCATCGGGTTTTCCTGCTGGATGTCAATCAGGGGCTCTTCATAGACATATTCCAGGAACTCTTTGGCTTGCTTTGATACCTAGAAAAGGGGTGGGGAAATCCATTAAGCTTAGCTCAGCCTCTAATAAAAGCTCTAAACGCTCACAGGCAATCGATACTATCTCCTCAGCGGTGTTATACTAGTTACGCTAAAGTGTTCTGAGGTTGTAATACAACCTAATTTACCCAAATGGCTCAAGGGACATCTTTATGCATCTGTATTACTGGGTGCTTGGGTAGCACTTGGAAGGCTAGTTGGATGCTTGAAATGCTATTCAATATACCGTCATGAAGAGACAGAGGCTACTGGGGGTGGAAACAACTGAATTCAGATATTCAGCTAACCTAGATTCAATTACTGGAAGCTTCTACAGAACATACTGAACACACACACACACACACACACTGACTTTTAAGTGTGCATATGAATAGCAGATTCTACAAAACCTAATCTAACCTCACTGGCAAAGCCTGGATAAAATACAGTATATGCTTGATCAAAGCTCTCTCATTACCAGAACTGTATACTGTTCTTACACTAGAAAGGCATTTGGGCTGGAGAGATGTTTTAATTCAGCTCGTGTCCATCCTCTGATACTAGTATCTGCCCATAAATGTTTCTATGTGAATGCAAAATAAGAGGCTCCTATAGGTTTTGAGGCATTCCACCCTTGAAACTAACCAGACAACTGAAGAAGACTATGACTTTTATTACCACCCTGCCCACTCCCCAATGTCAGCTCAGAAAGCTTTCCTTATTTTACTCAAACTCATCACAATCCTGCAAGAAAGGCGACTATTATTTAATAGGATGAAGTACTGAAAGGCCATTCACCTGATTAAGACATTCAATGGCTCTTCATAGAGCAAGGTACAGCTGTGCGGAAGTAGTAATACAACCAACAGGAACTTGGCAGCAACTTGTATGTGTGTCAGGCTTAAAACATCAATATTGGAGCACTGTGCTTGTGTGAATTGTCACTAGGACACAATACCTGCAGTGCTGGCTCAGGGATTTGGGGGGCCTCAACAGGATCTTCTAACATGGAAAAGATGGGAAAGGCAAGTCAGATACTTTGCGTAAAGTGGAAAGGGGAGCTGCGGTAGTCTAGCGGGCCTCTGCTGGATTTAGGATTTAAATGCCCAACCTCCCAATCTGGAACCAGTGTGGTATGCATAACCATGCCTGATCAGATACGTGGAAAGTGTTGGTACATCCAAACCAGGCCAAAGGCCATAGCCTGATAAAGTTATACAATGAATTTCAGGGCCAAGTTGGAAATTGAATTCAGTTTTCCAAAGCCAACAATTTTGCTGGGCCCTGGAAAGCCATAATTGCAGTGTTCACAGTAAAAGCAGGATGACTTTCACTCCGCAAGCCCCCTGGAAGCTGTCTGGATCTATTGAACAACTTTATTTTGAATCGTACAGTGGTACCTCGGGTTAAGTACTTAATTCGTTCCGGAGGTCCGTTCTTAACCTGAAACTGTGCTTAACCTAAAGCACCACTTTAGCTAATGGGGCCTCCCGCTGCCGCCGCGCCGCCGGAGCACGATTTCTGTTTTCATCCTGACACAAAGTTCTTAACCCGAGATACTATTTCTGGGTTAGCGGAGTCTGTAACCTGAAGCGTATGTAACCTGAAGCGTATGTAACCCAAGGTACCACTGTATTGGCTCTCCAGTAGAGGAAAAAGGGAAGATGTAAGAGTAACAAAGAAATAAAAGGGGAAGCCCCAGAAAAGGGATACTCAAGTGTTTAGATCAGAGCTTTCCAAACTTTTCATGTCGGTGACACGCTTTTTAGATATGCATCATTTCGCGACACGGTAATTCAGTTTTACTAGCAAACTGCAGGTGAAACTAACCCCTTTCCAGGCCTGGGAGGAACGCAGGGAGCATTCGTGTGACACACCTATATACTGCAGTCGGCACACTAACGTGTCGCAACACACAATTTGGAAAGCTCTGGTTTAGATGTTATATAAGTCTTTTGTGCACCCAAAAAAAGACGGTTCCAAAGTCATCCAAAATTACCAGCTCCACTAAACGCTTGGTGCTTACTCATAATTACACAGCTGTACATTTTAAGACACAGGTGGGACTGTAAAATGAATTAAAAGAGCATGGCTTTCCAGATGTTCAACAAGCTCCACTGAAACAGTCATTTGTCAGCTGCTACAATTAAACAGCAAAACGAGCCCATTTTTTCTCAGTGCTTATAACAAAGTAACAAAACAAAACAAAAACTCATAATATATGCTAATCTTCCCGCACACAGTTGCTTTCACAGAAATTCCATTCAAAACAGTGAGATTTAAAGCAACTCTGCATAGGACCATAAGCCAGAAAGTAATAGTGTTGGTTTAAAAGGGAAAACAGACCATGCCTCTGTTTTTACTGAATTATTATTTGAAGTGCTCAGGTTTTCCCTCTTTGTTCTCTACTTGGTCCACACTTGGTCATCTGGATATCGTGGATTTTATGCAGCGTGTGGTTATGGGGTACAAAACTGAAGACACGAAATGGAATAGATTAAAGTGATCTTCCAGACCTTTTCGGCTTTATGATATAATTAAAAAAAATTAACTGCAACACTTTTGAGTTTAAGGAAAAAATCCATCAGATAATTGCTACCAAGTACCAAAATGAACAGTGCTCAAATTAATGAAATATAATAATCCTAAGAATGAAAACAAGCTTTCCCAACACATTTTTAGGGGCAAAGTATGACCATGAGAGACTCTCTCTCATTGTTCATTTCTGTATCATTTTTTTGGCAGGGCAGAGGAGTGAGGATGGAAACTAGATACACAGAACTGAAGAACTGTTATCGTTTTCTCAAAAGTTTAGGATGTAATAATAATAATAATAATAATAATTTATTATTATTTGTACCCCGCCCATCTGGCTGGGTTTCCCCAGCCACTCTGGGCGGCTTCCACAGAGACCAAAAATACACTAAAATGTCACACATTAAAAACTTCCCTGAACAGGGCTGTCTTAAGATGTCTTCTGAATGTCAGGTAGTTGTTTATCGCTTTGACATCTGATGGGAGGGCGTTCCACAGGGCGGGCGCCACTACCAAGAAGGCCCTCTGCCTGGTTCCCTACAGCTTTGCTTCTCGCAATGAAGGAACCGCCAGAAGGCCCTCGGCGCTGGACCTCCGCGTCCGGGCAAAACAATGGGGGTGGAGACGCTCCTTCAGGTATACTGGGCCGAGGCCGTTTAGGATGTACACCCTTTTAGTTGGCTATTGTCTCAAAATTATACATTTTGGCTTATGGATTACCTGCCCGGTCACTATGGGGCATGATACAATTAATTCAGAAAGGTGAGGAGGCAGGCAGTAGAGAAGAATTGCTTATTTTTCCTTGCTATCCTCCTGCACTTAATTTGTGCTCTATCAGAAACTCAGCTTTGATCCAAGAGTAGGTAAAGTGCACAGCTTGGAAAATGAGATTTTGAAACTATGATAACCCAACCTCACCTGCTTGGAACCTGGTCAGAACCTTGTTCACGAGGAGCTTCAGGGACAGCAAAGGACAAGGAATACCAAACAAAGTCAATTCTATATACAGTCAGGGAGTTGTCTCCTAAATTCTCAGACCAGCAAGTAAATTTGGCCTGAAAGCTTCTACAGGGGCCAGGGAGCATCACCTGGCTCATTCTGGCCAGTTGTGTCTAGGGGTCCAGCATTGGGATAGCATGGAAAATCATGCAAGGAACATGAGGCGACATGAAAATTCCCCTAGTAGCATTATTCACACAATCCATGTCTCCAAGGATGGAACATGAGAACAACCCATATTTCAATTCTATTATTCTGTTTTAAAAATCAGTACTTAAGTAAAGTGGGGACTCTTAACACAGCTCTTTTCCTGTCTGCTCAAAGTGCTCGACACGCAGTTCCTTTTCCATGTTATTGTACAAATCTATGAAAAGGCCGAAATGCTGCCTACATGTGCCCTGAGGAAACTGTATTCCTTTGGGCAGAAATCCCTGATTAATAGCAAGAACCGAGCCCAGCTATAAACATGTTGAATAATAATTTAATCATAAAGTACTGGCAAAAAGCTTACATATGACTTCAATGGCACAGTTGCACATTCTGAAATACAGGTGGGGCCATAAAAGAAATGTAATGTTACGGTTCTCCAGATGGCTAGGATCAATAAGCTGCAATAAATGCCCCATCTATTTGTCAGCTGCTACTACTATTTTTTAAAATAAACAAGAAAGAAAATTGTCAACTGGCAGCCCCATCAGACACAATAAATTTGCAAAGACAACATCACAAATCTCAAAATTACAGAATCCTTCGAGGGAGGGAGAGAGAGAGAGAGAGAGAGAGAGAGAGAAGGGAACCTTTGCAGACATTGTTGATTTGCACTGATCTCTTACAAAAATAATACTAAAAATTGGAAACAATAATTTGAAGATTAATAAAGACACAAAACACTTGTATGTTGTTATATAATGGTCTACCAATGGTGCTGTACACCATGAAATGAAAGGCACACATACACACATAAACATACAGAATATAAATGTTGGTATTGCTTTAAAAACAAAGGGGCTTTTATCCACATATTGCAGCTATGTGAAAGAACAAGAAAAATTTGGAAAATATAGTATTACAGATATTATAAATGAAATGTGTAAAATTAAAACCAGAATTGAAGCTTTGCTTGCTGCATTTTGTATCTTGCAATATTCAAATGCCAGTTCTGTATACAACAGGTGCAGCCAACAACATTTGTTAGATTTTGGAAATGTTAAAAAGAGGCAAATAACAGAGAGGGGGTAAAGGCTTGGGACTTATTATCTCCAGTTAAATGAGCAGGTCAGCAAAAGGAAGATACAAATGATTTTGTGAAACCTGCACAGTCCACTTGCGATATAGTATTTATGCCATTGTGACAATAATATTTTGTTGGAGGCTGCCCAGAGTGGCTGGGGAAACCCAGCCAGATGGGCGGGGTATAAATAATAAAAATAAATTATGACAATGATTTAAATCTTTTAAATCTAACATAAATATGCTGCTCTATAAATGATTTTATAAATTAATGAGCTGTGCTATTCAGTGAGTATTATGATTATTACACTGGAAAAAGATTATGAATGTGAACTACTGCCTGAAAGTGAATTTTTATGTTCTATGCAGAGTATTTACGTTGTAAATGTGTTCAGGTTTTGTATATTACCTTTTTTGGCAATTTTATTGATTCTGCATGTACAAAAAACATGCAACGTAACATTCATTAACAAGCACACTCAGGTCTCCAATGTTTACATTTGGTGGGAACATTACATTTGGGTCAGCATCACTGACCCAATAGCCGATGTACTTTAGCGCAACAAGTCTCTCCCAAAGCTGGCATGAGATCCAGGTGAACAAAGATCCTCTGCTGATGTATTAATGAACGTGATAAAGAGAAAACAGATGGCTTCTAACGCTTTTCGCTCAGCTTGGACCACAGCCAGCCTAATGCTATGGCTTAGTTTCCCCCTCAATAGAGCACGGTGCCAAATGTGTTCATACCAGTTCTCAATCGAAAAGTCTGAAGTGGTCTCCTGGTCTCAGCTGCAGACGTCCTCACAGCAACCAGGAGAAAAATTGTGAGGTCTTTGTAAGCCAAGCCGAGGCCCAAGAAGGCAGCAAGACCAGCCACAATGGCACAGACTGACGGGCGATCCTAGAAGGTAAGCTAAAGGTAAAGGGACTCCTGACCATTAGGGTCCAGTCACGGACGACTCTGGGGTTGCGGTGCTCATCTCGCTTTATTGGCCGAGGGAGCCGGCGTACAGCTTCTGGGTCATGAGGCCAGCATGACTAAGCCGCTTCTGGCGAACCAGAGCAGCGCATGGAAACGCCATTTACCTTCCTGCCGGAGCGGTACCTCCGCGGTACCTCTACTTAGACTTTGACGTGCTTTCGAACTGCTAGGTTGGCAGAAGCAGGGACCAAGCAACAGGAGCTCACCCCGTCACGGGGATTCGAACCGACCTTCTGATCAGCAAGCCCTAGGCTCTGTGGTTTAACCCACAGCGCCACCCACATGCTATGTCTGTCTATCTATCTATCTATCTATCTATCTATCTATTTTGAGAACTTGTAGCCCACTCTTCAGCCAAAAAGGCTCCCAGAGTGGCTTACATGAAATCAAAACAAGATACTCTCTACCTACACACTTATATTCTGATAAATAAACTTTGGCTCTATCCATTCTTTTCCTGATGAAAGGACAAATTTTAAGACCACAAAGCTAATTTGCCTTGCTATACAAGAGTCATCTGTGTTAAAATGGAATAAAGTAGTCTTTTGTATTTGGATAAGGAATTAAATTTGTTAATCTAAATGGGATAAAATACTTGAAATGCAATTGCATATATATATATATATATATATATATATATATATATATATACACACACACACACAACATTATTAATAAACCTGGTCACAAAACAAGGCAAGACAGCAGCTGTCAGTTATGATGAGGAACTTTTGTGTACATGTTTGTACATCTATATACAGCCATACCCTGGATCCCGAACGCCCTGGAACTTGGATGTTTTGGTTCTCGAACGCTGCAAACCCGGAAGTGATTGTTCCGGTTTGTGAACATTCTTTTGGAAGACAAACGTCCCACGGGGCTCCCACAGCTTCTGATTGGCTGCAGGAGCTTCCTGCAGCCAATCAGAAGCCGCAATTTGGTTTTCAAACGTTTTGGAAGTCGAACGGACTTCCGGAACAGATTCCAGTCGACTTCCAAGGTACGACTGTATTGCACCTTCTTCCAGCTCACGTTAGAGCCACTGTAGTGGTGAGAGTTTCGGTCTTAGACTGGAGAGCTCCAGGTTCAAATCTCAACTTAGCCACAAAGCTTAACTGGTGACTCCCTCTCACTCTCGCCTAATTCTAAGGCTTGTTGGGAGAATGAAATGGGGAGAAGCAAGAATATCACACTGAGATCCTTGGAGGAAAAGGGGGAATAAACTGTTACAAAGAGCTCATGATTTCTATTCCGCCATATTTATCACCAAAGCTTCCTTATGAAACAAATCACCATCTCACAAGGGAAACAAAGTCCAAGATCTAGAAAGAGCTCCACAAAGCACTTCTAGTTTGAAAAACCTGGTGATGCTTCCTCAGTGATCAATCAAGTTGTTGCAGGTTGAACTGAAGCAAACAGCCACAAAGGTAGTTGCGTGGTGTCGATCTTGGTTGTACAAAGCAACAGGGGAAGACTCTACAGTGGTACCTCGGGTTACATACGCTTCAGGTTACATATGCTTCAGGTTACAGACTCCGCTAACCCAGAAATAGTACCTCGGGTTAAGAACTTTGCTTCAGGATGAGAACAGAAGTCGCATAGCGGCAGCGGCAGGCCCCATTAGCTAAAGTGGTGCTTCAGGTTAAGAACAGTTTCAGGTTAAGAACAGACCTCCAGAATGAATTAAGTACTTAACCCGAGGTACCACTGTATTTCAATCAAGCTGTGAACGGCTAGATGAAACATAGCCTACCACTAGTCAGATATTTTTGCCTGCGAAGTGCTTGATAATCCCATCTCCTGTCCTAGGGCAGATAGCAAAAACAGGATTTTATCAAGTTTCTGGTAGGCATGGTACCAGCATGGTAGACTGAGTTTGACCTGGTGGTCATACCATGTGCAGGTCTGAACTCCAGTTCCATAATCCCAAGAATTTGTCTCATCAGATAAAGACTCAGCGAGGATTTACTGTGTCTTTTCTCCATATTAAATGTACTTAGTAAGAACAAAATGTCACGTGCACCAGGGTAAGTCAGATATTATTTTGCAAAATGAGTCCAAAGATTTTGCCTTTATAATATTGCTATTTTTAATGTAATTAGTTACATTATAATTGGGAAGGATATATGGAATGAATGGGATGTGAGCTCTGCAAGGTTGTCAAAAGGGGTAGGGGCTATAAACAGGACTTGGTTTTTTAACTACATTCCTTGGAAGAAGAAATGTCACATTTCAAGACAGTTGTGCTCTTTTGCTCACAGGCACCCTGATGTGGTCAGAGAATATGACCTTTTGTCATGTGGCCCTTGCAATAATAATAAAACAGTCTATGTCAGTTAGCAAGAGACTGAGCAAGTATAAGAACTTTCAGGACAGAACCAATTTTGGATGAAGTCCTCTGCAGCACCCAAGGAACAGAGCGAAGCTTCCTACAATTGCTCCACTCAACATTCAAAGTGTTGGTGCTGACTTTTAAAGCCCTTAATGGCCTTGGCCCAGTATACCTGAAGGAGCGTCTCCACTCCCATCGTTCAGCCTGGACACTGATGTCCAGCTCTGAGGGCCTTCTGGCAGTTCCCTCACTGCAAGAAGCGAAGTTACAGGGAACCAGTCAGAGGGCCTTCTCAGTAGTGGTGCCCACCCTTTGGAACGCCCTCCCAAGAGATGTCAAGGAAATAAACAACTATCTGACTTTAGAAGACATCTGAAGGCAGTCCTGTTTAGGAAAGTTTTTAATGTCTGATGTTTTATTATATTTTTAATATTTTAATATTAAGCCACCCAGAGTGACTGGGGAAACCCAGTCAGATGGGCGGGGTAAAAATTATTATTATTATTATTATTATTAATATTTTGTACTAGCCTGCCTATCTAGTTAGACATAACAACTGTCTTTGATAAATAGATCAATTGTGAGTGTGCTGCATGTATAAAGGAAAAGGTAAAGGTAAAGGTACCCCTGCCCGTACGGGCCAGTCTTGCCAGACTCTAGGGTTGTGCGCTCATCTCACTCTAGAGGCCGGGAGCCAGCGCTGTCCGCAGACACTTCCGGGTCACGTGGCCAGCGTGACAAGCTGCATCTGGCGAGCCAGCGCAGCACATGGAACGCCGTTTACCTTCCCGCTGGTAAGCGGTCCCTATTTATCTACTTGCACCCGGAGGTGCTTTTGAACTGCTAGGTTGGCAGGCGCTGGGACCGAACGACGGGAGCGCACCCCGCCGCGGGGATTTGAACCGCCGACCATGCGATCGGCAAGTCCTAGGCACTGAGGTTTTACCCACAGCGCCACCCGCGTCCCCTGCTGCATGTATAGATGAAATTAATTAATCACTTCTTTTGAACACTGGTACTATTGCCTTGACCTCTGTGCTTTCCTCCTCTGATCCCAGGTTGCATCCATGACGGATCGTAGCATTACACTTTTTCTAAGATTTCCCCCATGGCATCCAGTTAAGACAGCAAAACAGTGCGAAAATACACGCTCCAGTTGCCCTGAAGCTGGTCAGCGCAAGCTCATCCTCATTCTAAATCCTGCTGTGGTTGATTGCTTCATATTCCTGACCCAGCACAATGCTGAATCATTGCCTCCAGTGCTTTGCTAGATTTAGACCTCTGTACACGAAGCAGACGTGTGGGCAGGGAACGGGATGACACGTAAAACACAGTTGATATTACACATGAACAGTGAGTTCCGAGTGAACAAATGAAAACACATGCCTAGTTGTATCAACATTACCAAATAAGGCTCATGCTATGGCGCATACATTGATTCCCCTACGCGGAATTGTTGCAGAGAAAAATAACAGGTTCACATTTTTACCCGGGAGCAGCAATAAGAACAGGAGGTGAGCGCTCTCAATGGCTCCATTTGACTCATTCTGTGCTCTGGAGATTAAGCAGCGCCAAAGTTTCCAAAATAATTTGCAGAGGCACAGACATTTGCAGTTGGGAAGCATGTAATGAGGACTGAAATCTCACCAGGTCTCCGTGAGGCTTAATAGGAAACATCTTGTGCACAAGTGAAAAGGGTGGAAAGCCAGAATTAAGAAACAACCTTCTGTCTGTCAAAGCTGGTCAGTGCTGCCAATCTCCGATAGTAAGTTGACATCAAACCCTGCTTTGGCTGTGATACCCAGTGGATCTCAGCTCAAGGTCCCCACAGAATTCTTCCAGATATAACGGTATCTGAGCAAGCTGTCTTGAACTTGTGGTGACTTTAAGTGTCAGTCAAAGCACAGGGGAGGGTGTGCACCTTACTTGGGCTAGGCCAAAGCAGTGTTCAGCCAAGACTCCCTCTGCCACACAAGCATTGTGGGGAAGGCAGAAAAATCTCAAAATGTTCAGACGGAGGTGGGTTTATGTTTAAGACAAGGTGTCTGAGCGTTTTCCCTTTAAAGCCCTAAACGGCCTCGGTCTAGTATACCTAGCCCGGACACTGAGGTCCAGCACCGAGGGCCTTCTGGCGGTTCCCTCGCTGCGAGAAACCAAGTTACAGGGAACCAGGCAGAGGGCCTTCTCGGTAGTGGCACCCACCCTGTGGAACACCCTCCCACCAAATGTCAAAGAGGAAAATAACTACCAAACTTTTAGAAGACATCTGAAGGCAGCCCTGTTTAGGGAAGCTTTTAATGTTTGATAGGTTATTGTATTTTAGTGTTTTGTTGGAAGCCGCCTAGAATGGCTGGGGAAACCCAGCCAGATGGGCAGGGTATAATTTTATTGATTTATTTATTATTATTCCCTCTCTTCCCCCAACTCATTTCTACAGAAAAAGAAAGCTTTGCCAAGTGGTGACAAGGCTGTACCCTCAGCACTATTCCCTCCTCACTGGGGACAGAGTGCCTGATGGGAACATGCTATGTCACGAGGTTGTGTGGATTCCAGGGGCTTTCTTGGGGATGAGGAAGATGGCTTCCCCCCCTGGTTTCGCACTCAGCGCAACTGTTCATATGGGCATTCATCACTAAGGGCAGGAGAAGGGATTCCTTCATGTCCTACCTTGTATTTTGAAGTGTCCCAGTTATGAACCAGCCGAGCAGGAATTAGAAAGCTGTCGTCCACGTGACACATGCTGCAGTAGTACCATCCGCTGTAACTGCACACCTTGGCTTTGCCATTGGAGAGGCCTATGGACCGCTGACAACCTGCCAATAAGGGGGGGAAAGGAAAAAAACAGCTTTAAAAAATGCAGGACTCTTAGCAGTATTGGAAGGAAATCTCCATAACTACACGCTGCTGTGTTTTAGTAAGAGAGCGAACACAGAATATATAATTACCTTTCAAAACAGAACAATTACAGCTCTAAATAAATATTACCGGAATAAGAGAATGAGGCGTTTTTGATAACTGCTTGTGTGACATTCCATGCTATCCTATTATAAAATACAGTTGTACCTTGGAAGGCAAACAGCGTAGTTCCCTGAACGTTTTGGCTCCTAAATGTCGCAAACCTGCAGCCAATAGGAAGCCGCGCTTTGTTTTTCGAACGTTTTGGAAGTCGAACGGACTTCTGGAACAGATTCCGTTCGACTTCCAAGGTACGACTGTATAAGATTCTGAACCACACAAATCTCTAACATGTCCTCATATGCTATGAAATAGTTTCAGGAATCCATGTACAAGCCCAGTTTCATATTACAGTGGTACCTCTGGTTACATACTTAATTCGTTCCGGAGGTCCATTCTTAATCTGAAACTGTTCTTAACCTGAAGCACCACTTTAACTAAGGGGGCCTCCCGCTGCTGCCGTGCTGCCACCACGCCATTTCTGTTCTCATCCTGAAGCAAAGTTCTTAACCCGAGGTACTATTTCTGAGATAGTGGAGTCTGTAACCTGAAGCGTATGTAACCCGAGGTACCACTGAACAGCTTAGCAACTGGAAGCCCAGAACCAAAGTGGGTCTCCTAAAGAGATAGTGGTACCTCGGGTTACATACGCTTCAGGTTACAGACTCCACTAACCCAGAAATAGTGCTTCAGGTTAAGAACTTTGCTTCAGGATAAGAACAGAAATCGTGCAGCGGCGGTGCAGCAGCAGCAGCAGCAGGAGGAGGCCCCATTGGCTAAAGTGGTGCTTCAAGTTAAGAAAAGTTTCAGGTTAAGAACGGACCTCCGGAACGAATTAAGTACTTAACCCGAGGTACCACTGTACTGTATTGGCTGTTCTTCCTGATGACTGTGGTAACACCATTTGCTTGGCAGCCTGCTTTGTGGAATGGGTTAGGGTGTGTGAAGAAGCCCGGTCCATCACTTTCCAGCTTCTCAAAAGCACGCTTCTTACAATTCTATGATTCTAAGAACATTGGGCTTGCTTTGAAACGATGTGCTCTTTGAATGCTCAAGCTGATAGCAAGTCACACAGATTTGGGGGTGAGGGATTGTTAGCAGAGAGGAGATTTTTTGGCTCAGGCACTGATTACATGTGTCCACAAAAGAAGGTTTCATGGAAGCCCTGAACGATCTGCCGTGAAAGTCAGGATGCACAGATTTTGCTCATCTGTAAAGTCCAGGTGAATATGCCCAATATAGGAAGGAGAATGTACATAGCTCGCTCATACAGCCCATGCAGAAGGTCCCAGATTAAATTCTGGGCATCTCCAGGTGGGGCTTATCTGAAACGCCGAAGGGTTGTTTCTGGTCCATGGCGACAATACCGAGTCAAGATCAATCAGTGGTCTCGCTCAGTAAATGGCAGCTTCCAATGTTCCTAATATATAGTGTGGGAGGAGTTAATTGGTTCAATTTAGCATCTATTCAAGCCTATCAACTTCTGCTTCAGGGTGTGCCTCGCCAAAGTTTACTCTTTTGAACCAAGAAAAGTATCCAAATGGTGCATCCTGGAGATTCAATTGTTTTGATAAATTCAAACTCTGATCTCAGATTCAGTGATGACGTGAAATTGAATGCTTGATTCCGAGCCCGCTTCTCGTTTCTTCCATATTTTTTTAAACTTTGGAGTAACCATCAACGTGGCTGCAGAGTATATAGCAAGGGGGAAAATATTCTGTGAGGAACCTGACTGGGAAAAGTTGACAACAGGAAGCCGAACAGCCATAAAAGCTTCATTCACAGAAATTGCCTGAACATTTTCAGACTAGAAACCACGAGGGCTAGAAACATGAATCTTAAAATAAAAAGCTGGAAATCCCAGAAGACAAAGTTCTCTGCCAGGTACCGGTCAGCCCTCCTCTACACATATGCAATCCTGAAGAAGGCAGCTTTTTCCTGTTGCTCCCTTCCTCTAGAAGTCTCTATTCCTCCTCTTTGCTCTATGACCTCTCCCAAGGAAGCGATTGCTGCTAAACCTGTTTTCATGCAGCAAAGCCATTCGCTTTCCACTTGATTTGTACTTGCCCTCCATTTCCTTGACAACACATTTTTGACCTGGGTCACACAGCAGAATGCACACAAACAGCCCTGTGTAGCCAAGTGAATTGCAAAACGACAAACTTAAGGAAGAGCGAGAGCTGCAAATAACAGTACAGGGTCTTCCTGTCCCATTAGACACGACCGCTGAGGTTGCGGCGTTCTCCCTGCCCCAACTGTGTTGAAACTGTTCAACATCCCTCGCCTTGTGCCTGTCGCATGTTTTATTTCACAAGGACCGTTATTTCTACAACCCCTTCAAATCAAGTTATGAAAGCAGTCGATTCCTTTGATGTTAGGAGGTTCAAAGTGATGCACGGTGACAAATGTATCTCAGTGGCAGACACCAATTAAGCTATTTGCAAAAAATAAAGAAGGGAAAGAAAGAGGCGGGAGCAGTGATACACCACAAGGTTGAGTACCTCTGTTGCATAGAGTCTGGATTCTAAGGCTTACAATGCCATTCCTTTCTTAGACTTCAACCCCCCCCCCCTCTTATTAACACCATTACATTTACTGGAATGAAATGCTATTGGGTATCCCTTTCCACACTCGCCCCCACCCTCAGTACAGGATTTTTAGGGATGCAAGTGGCCCATTTTAACTTGCAAGGGCACCTCTGTTGAATCAGCAAGCAGCAGCACTCTGTTCAAATCCATACAGGAATTTTTATGGCATCAGACGTACAACATAATATTGGTTATTGATTACTAAGACAGGGGTGGGGAACCTTTTTGGTCTCAAGAGCAAGATTCTGTTTTGCTCCCAACACCTCCTTTTCAGGGTCTTCCAACTCTCCAGTTCTATGATTCCTTTGTACATGGTGTTGTATGTTTTAGGATGCGGGTGGCGCCATGGGTTAAACCACAGAGCCTAGGGCTTGCCTATCGGAAGGTCAGCGGTTCGAATCCCCGGGACGGGGTGAGCTCCCATTGCTCGGTCCCTGCTCCTGCCAACCTAGCAGTTTGAAAGCACCTCAAAGTGCAAGTAGATAAATAGGTACCGCTCCGGCGGGAAGGTAAACGGCGTTTCCGTGCGCTGCTCTGGTTCGCCAGAAGTGGCTTAATCATGCTGGCCACATGAGCCGGAAGCTGTACGCCAGCTCCCTCGGCCAATAAAGCGAGATGAGCGCTGCAACCTCAGAGTCGGTCACGACTGGACCTAATGGTCAGGGGTCCCTTTACCTTTTATTACAACAACAGCAATAACAACAGCCGATAGAACGGGCAGGAGGAAAAGGAGAATGGTGCTGAAAGCCTGAAAAGATAAAGTAGGCACCAGGCAAACTTGAGGAGAAAGAAGGGCCCTCTCCCTGGCTGCCACGCACCACACCTCAGGGGGCTGGGCCACCCAGAGGAAGGCTCCCAAGGAAGATATCTTTGCCTAGAAAATCCATGGTCAGCTGGTATCACCTTTGAGGAAGCATTCTGCCACGTGCGCGAGGACGAGGAGGAACACCTCTTCTAAGATGACACCTGCGCGCATGTCACAGCAGGCACTACCGAAAACCAGAGAAAATATTTGCTCTTCAGAATTCCTTGTGCGTCATTGTCTTTGAGAATTGCATGCCTGGGGAAAGAGACTGTCTTTAACACACTGAGCTTTGTGAGCTGCTCCGGGAGCCTGGTTTAAAAAATATATTCCATATTCCTCACGCTTGGCTTTTCAAACTTCAACAGATTCAAAAGTGCAAACAAATTCAGATCTTTAGGATCCGTTGGCTATGGTTTCTTTAATCAGGTGGCAGCCCTAAGGGGGGGGGGGAGGCAAGCACAATGTGCTCTCAGATAAGACCCTGTTGCAACACACATATGCAAGCAGTCTGTCCATGACCCTATGTGCCATCTTGCTAGGTCATCTTCTCTGCAGGCTTCGCAACATAAATTGTTGGCAGCCTGAAGACCTTTGCACAAGGCTCTGGTGACCAGTTTATGTCAACAGACAGTATTTGCGGGTTTTTCTGTGTGTGCTGCTCAGGAAGGCCATCGGAGAAAGCACATGGTACCTCTCCTGCTCATTTCTCGGTAATTACAGTTGTGGTCCTGCTCTGGAAGGGGAGAATGAGATGGTCTGCAGACCACCCTCACTGCCCAGCAGACGAGAGAGGTAGAGGGCTTCATTTATGCTGTGAACAATTCTGCGCTTTGTGCATGTTCATTTGGCACAACTGCAGAAGTCTAGCAACTGGGTAGGGACGCGGGTGGCGCTGTGGGTTAAGCCTAGGACAGAGCCTAGGACTTGCCGATCAGAAGGTCGGAGGTTCGAATCCCCGTGACGGGGTGAGCTCCTGTTGCTCGGTCCCTGCTCCTGCCAACCTAGCAGTTCGAAAGCACATCATGTGCAAGTAGATAAATAGGGACCGCTTTGGCGGGAAGGTAAACGGCGTTTCTGTGTGCTGCTCTGGTTCACCAGAAGCGGCTTAGTCATGCTGGCCATATGACCCGGAAGCTGTCTGCGGACAAACGCCGGCTCCCTTGGCCTATAGAGCGAGATGAGCGTGTAACCCCAGAGTCGGTCACGACTGGACCTAATGGTCAGGGTTCCCTTTACCTTTACCTAGCAACTGGGTAGGAAAGCTTTCAAGCGCTTGAAAAATTCAACAGGCCTTCTTTGCCTGTGCAACCTGGCCCACCACACCAGACACAACACAGCTGACAGTGCACATAATGGACCACGGCAGCAAGAATCTGAATGCTAATAAATAGCTTGTACAATGCCCTGGTACATACAGGCCTGCAGTGTTACACACAGAAAGGTTCTGCCTTTTCCCAGTCCCATTCTCCTTTCCCCAGCCTCCCCCTCATATCACGGGCAGTGGAAGGAGAGGTGGAATACATATGTCGTAATAAAAATAAATAACAGAAGGTCTCCAGAGGTCTCTCTTATTGCTGGCCAAGTTGCATCAGCCTTTAACAAGGCAAACCATTTTTAAATAAAAATTTTAAAATCCTGCCCTTTGGTATGTTTGCAAACCTCAAAATCTAAGCCAATAAAACCTGAGTGAAATACTACACTGGTTATCTCGCAAAGGTGAATATGCTGCAGGAGAAACCTTCACCCTTGAAACTGGCTGACTTTTTATTGCTTGGATTTCACAATCTCAGCATCGCAAAACCACCAAGTACAACAATGCGGCACACTGCACACCTGCAAACACGTCTCACCCCCCCCCACACTGTTAGAAGCAATAAAGACGATGCAAGGACTGGGGAATAGCATGTTTCAAGAGCTGAGTGGACCTGCTCTTTGGCGAGGTGAGGAATAAGGACGGGAATGGGGAGCCAACCGTTCCCCAAGCAATGAATTTCTCACACCCTTGTCTGAAATGTGGGGGAAAGGGTTTTGCCTGGATTCAAAGCAGGGAAGGGTTTTTCTCCTCTATTTATTTATTTATTTCATAAAAGTTATACACCCCTTGCTTGAAACAGACCTGCAGAGGAGTCAGGGCAGCGAAAAGAAGAGCTTTCTCACACACAGTATCATTAACATATGGAATCTGCTAATGGCACCAGTTTAGAAGGCTCTGAAAAGGGATTAGCCAAATTCATGGAAGGGCATTCTTATTGGGGGGTTTTAATTCAAGATTTGGGTTTTTTTTTACAAAAGTACATACATCGTTTCTGTTTTCAGATCGCCAAGTCCTTTCTACAGATAAGTTATATTCAATGTGAGACATTAATGTTGTGGTCAATATAAGGTTGGGGGAGAAGGGGGGGCAGTAAACTTTCATTCTCTTACATGGTTGCTACTAGCTGATCTAGCTAAATGACAACTCCGATTTCGCTGAATACCAGTTGCTTCCAAGGGGAGGGAGAGGCAAGTTGGAAAGACATGTTGATTTCATGCACCCTGCTTGTGGGCTCCTTGGAAGATTCTGGTTGGCCACCACCACAAACAAACATGGGTGCACAAAAGATCTGATCCAGAAGGGTTTTATGTTCAAGGATGAGGAACATTCCGTTTTTCTCTTTCTTTTTAATCTTTCATTAGATAGGACCTCACCATGACCAAAAGCCCCGGAGCGCTGAACCACTGCTTCCATCAGCCGCAAATTTGCACATTGCAGGAAACATACTGTGATAATAACAGTAAAATTGTGGCAGCAAGTTTGTGGGCTACATGTGCATGCATTATACACAATTCCAGACCTATCGGAAGATTTTCAAATGCCCCTAATATGCAAGAATGATGGCAAGACTGGTCGAGCGTGGAAAATGGCACTGCACCAGAGCATTCTGAAGGCAAAAAAACCCACACACCTTCATGCATATGAACTGAACACATGCAAACAATCTCACTTTATTTTGAGGTCTGGTGAAACATAGTGGCCAAGAGTGCCAGTCAAGACTAGGACAATGACAGGGTATCTCTGGCTCATGGGCCCATAAGGCAATTTCTGACCAGCCTTCCTTCATGTGAGTGACTTTGTTAAATGTGGCATGCAGAGGGTTGACTGCTTTCTGATCCAGCCCATCAGATGAAAGTGGCTTCCTACCCCTAGACTAGGATCAAAGAGACCAAAACTTAAAATGCAGCTGCAAAGCTCATTTGGTGACGTTGGCTCACTCACAGCCTCTCATTTTAACTTATCTCATGGGGTTGTTGGGTGGGGGAAAACCACAAACGCCATGTTGGAGAAAAGGTGGGATACAAATGAAATAATAAGGCAGCGAAACCCCTGGTTCAGTCCTCATGTCAGCCATGAACAGTCACACACAATGAAGTTTACCATACTTAAATAACATATATGAAGTTGTTTGAAATCTCTAACACATTATATAAATTATGATTATGATTCCAAGCGCCATATCTGGGTTTGTAGCAGACATTTGCCCTCATTCTCTCTACCCTGGAATTATTCGCTTTTCTCTTACAGCTGCTTGACTTCCTCCTTAAGTCTTTGCTATTGCAATGTGTGCATGGGAATCGGAAGTTTACAGGATGCCGACAGAGGCATTTAGCATCCTAACACTTGAGCAATAAGAAAAGCCATGTAAAAATAGTAAATGAACTGTATAACAATTGGGTCCATAGGATGAGGTTGCCATAAACAAAACAGGGTGGGAACAAGCTTCCTTAATATGTTTATACAGCGCAAACTATAATGGGACCCCTGCCTGAGCTAAGCATATATACCCATTTCCTATTGAAAGGCTTAGGCTGCAATCCTCTGGACCGTTACCTAGAAGCAGGTCCCAGTAAACTCAATAGGACATGCACAGGATCACACTATTAGGGCTGCAATCTTATTGGAAGTTTAGTAGGAGGCTACCCCAGTGGACTTCCTTCTGAGTAAAGGAGATTAGGAGCACGGTGCACAATGGCTTCAGTATCTCCTAAACAATTTGACTACATTCCTTAGTTTAATGCATAACATAGGCAAGGGCAAATCTTTTTTCTTCGTATTCAAAGGATACCCTGCCACCAAAACAAAACAAAACAAAACACAAAAGCAACCCCCCAAAACAACATTGCTGAATTAATAAAAAAGGGCTTTAAGATAAACTAATTCATGAAAGACAGGGTTACAATCAACAACTGGGAAAGATGCCTTGATGGTCCCTTTGAAACACTGGAGGTGATGAAATTCTTTGGCCGTTTGGCATAGCACCATGGACAGTTTGTATCTGGATCTGACCACTGATTGCAGAGAAGATTCTAGGTGCTGAAAAGGACCGCACAGCAAAACAGAATCAGACACACTTATTCTGGTGGAAAGAGCTAAATGAAAATGGACAGAGTAAAACCTTTTCTCTTCCCAGGCCGAGTGAAGGCATCCGTTCCTGAAGGAAAAACTTTTCCCCTTCGTTTTTGTTTCTTTAATCTGCCCTCCTGACCCTGATACACTGAGAATCCATTTCCCCCCTTCCTCTTCTCCTTCTGCCACATCCCCAGGCCTGATATGGCTGCCCTGGCTTCTATCCCTGGTTGGAAAAATGCTAGCTGGCGCCCAAGATAAACTTGTCTAAAGCTACATTCTTCCTTACCCACTTCTGAGTGTCAGCTGTTTGTCTGGAAGCTTTTGCTGCAAAAGCTTTTAACAAGGAGGATAGGAAAAGGGGGGCGGGATGTAGAGTGCAATTCAAACAAAACCAACTCTGCCCCCCCAACCCCCCCCCCCAAAATCCCTGACACAAGAAAAAATAAAGAAAGAAATGGGGGAAGGATGGGGGGGGGACCTTATCCCCAGCAAATCTTTCCAACAAACTCCTCTATCAGAGGTTCATTGTCAATCAATTAGTCAAGGCAGTGGGACTTAGTCGGCTGGGGGGCAGTTGGAGAGACAATGGGTCATATTACTATTTAATCACTTTTACTAAATAAATAAAGCAGCCCTAAGGTGCTGTCATGTCAAGGGAATTTACAGCAAAACAAAAAACCCCAAAGAAAGAAAAAGCCTAATTTTTCCATTACTTTTTTCCTCCCCTGAAGAACAAGAGAGGGTTATTACTGTAGCCTTAAGTCTCATCTTTGTGCAACTCCTCTTTGATTCCCACTCGGACCCTGCCACTTTCTGGCACTAATTTGTCAGGCTGAACAAAGGAGGGATTTGTACCTCCTGTAAGGTCTCAATTAGGAAAGGCTTCTGCTGTATTATGTGCCATTCAGACAGGACACAATGATGGTAATTACAGGAATTTGCACTAAATGGCTGAAGAATTCGCAGCAAAACTTTTTTTTCTCCACCTCCACAAAGCTTGCCCCTCTTTTGCAGCTGTGGGGGAATTGGATGAGGGTAGGGGGGTGGAGAGAAGGGAAGGGTGGGCCTGAGGCCTACAAGATGCAATTACCAGCAGTATTCCTATTCAGTTAAACAGCCACCCCGCAAAGTTAAGACAGCGGACATCTTTCCAAGTGGGAAAAGACAAATGGCTACCTTCAACAAGGACTTTCAGCAGACAAGCCTGGTCCAGCCCAGTTTCCACAGCACGGCCTTTCCACTCGTTAGCTTTAACGCATTTATTATGTCGTTAAATTAAAATAAATGAATAATGTCAATGCATCTTTGTTCTTCCCTTCGGGAACCCCAGGGCTCTTTTCATGGGATTATGTGATCCATCTAGAATGAGCTGCAAGATTGCATGCGCACACCTCACTCCATACCCAAGTTCACCTTTCCTGGGGAGAAATGTTGGTGTGAGCTAGGAAATCACAGCTAACTTTAACAGTGCATGAACCTCTATAGGGTTCTCCAGCTGGTAGTTTTTTTCTGAGGCACGGATCCTGCCAGAATGGCTCAGTAAAAACAGTAAAGTGTACCTTTCAGCCAATGCACAGCTGGAAACTACTAGCATAAATTGCCAGTGCAATGCTGCATACAAAAAACTGGATTTTGAGCATACAAGGCCCAGGTTAAAAACCCTGCTCAACGACAAAACCTACTGGATCGCCTTGAGCTACTCACGAGATCTCAGGTCACAAATGCACATGCAGAGGTCCCTGTTTCTGTTTCTGTTCGGAATGTGCCCATGCCCCAGATGAAGAAGGGTACAAGACTTCTCTACAACCTTCTGCTGCGACCTGGATGGCAAAACACCGGAACCGTACACACACCTGCCCCCACCTACACCACCTCTAAAGTGTTTCCTTGCTGGAAAGATCTTAAAGGTAAGACTGGAGAGAGAAGGGGCTGCAAGGGGGCTGCTGAAACACTAGTGAGCAACCTGGGCTGTGTGCACAGATGCAACCGGCAGTGTCCAGCTTCAATATTTGCTAACCTATTGCCTTGCCTTCACTGGCTGTATCTGTGTATATCCAATACCTCAAGGACCACTGCTCTCCATATGAACCGACCCAGACCCTGCAATCATCATCTGACGCCTTTCTTCGTGTGCCTCCTCCGCAAGAGGTCTGGAGGGTGGCAACATGAGAAAGGGCCTTTTCTGCAGTGGCTCCGTTTGTAGAATGCTCTCCCCAAGGTGGCTCACTTGGCACCTTCATTATGCATCTTTAATCGCCAGGCTTGAACGTTTCTCTTTCACATACTATGGCTTTTTAAAAGTGTTTGTGGGAGCAGGGCTATCGGGTTTGTTTTTGTCCTTGGTTTTATTATTTATTTTGTGTTCTCATTTTGTATCTTTATGTTGTGAACCGCCCCGTGATCTTTGGATGAAGGGCAGTATACCAATTTAATAATAAATGAATGTGCTCCTGCTTTCACACTCACCTTCTTCATAGGAGAACTTAGGGAAAGCTCCACTAGGAATTTGCCTGAACTCCTTCTGCTCTCCTAGATGGGAGCAAAGGCAGCTGATCTACCACCCACTTTCAATATGAATGGGGAGAAAGTCAATCAGGAATAATAACTGTGGGTCGAGGGTAAAGGTTTTTTGTTTTTGCAGAGAAGTCACCAGAAATGGAATATTGGGTGTGATGCAATAAAGGGGAAACAAACATGGTGAGCAGCCTCTCCCAAACTGGTGCCCTTCAAATGTTTGGGACTACAACTCCCATCAGTCAGTATGGGATGGGAGTTGTAGTCTAAGTGTCCAGATGTTGCTAAACTGAGGAAGGCAGGGGGAGAGGAAATGGCTGGTTTATTTTAAAGTTAAATGTTCCATTTTTTAAAAGAATAATGATTACTGTTTACAGAACAAGCACACCAGTCTCTCACTTCTAGAGGATCTCTATATCTAACTAAATAAGAAATTCAGCCTGCCAGAAAGGGGAAACCCACAATTCGCCAGCCAAATACTTTCCAAACACCACTTTTCAATTAAGATCCGTGAAATATGGTTGCTTTTCCGGGCTTTGACCCTAAACTTACTAATAGCTAAATCTCTCCTTAACATGCAGGAACAGAATGATGGCAATAAAAGGATTTTTTAAAAAAAAACCTTTCAAAACAAGGTTGGCTGACCTAAAATATAAAGACAATTTACTGACACTGCCCCCTGCTGGAAAGACTAATTGCTGCATTCCTGGGCATCGGCAATCAGGTGTGTTACTACCACAAGATGCCTTCCAAAACCTTTCTCAGCCTCCTGACCCCGTTCAGCGGCTGGGGAGGCACAGATAAGTATAGGCTGTGCCCAGTGGGGCTTAAATTTTTATTATTTATTAAATCTGAATACTGCCCTTCATCCGGAGATCACAGGGCCCATGCTTCTCTGTTGGAGAGATAAGGTGTCTCTATGGAGGCACCTTAGGGACGCAGGTGGCGCTGTGGGTTAAAGCCTCAGCGCCTAGGACTTGCCGATCGCATGGTCGGCGGTTCGAATCCCCGCGGCGGGGTGCGCTCCCGTCGTTCGGTCCCAGCGCCTGCCAACCTAGCAGTTCAAAAGCACCTCCGGGTGCAAGTAGATAAATAGGGACCGCTTACCAGCGGGAAGGTAAACGGCGTTCCGTGTGCTGTGCTGGCTCGCCAGATGCAGCTTGTCACGCTGGCCACGTGACCCGGAAGTGTCTGCGGACAGCGCTGGCTCCCGGCCTATAGAGTGAGATGCGCGCACAACCCTAGAGTCTGGCAAGACTGGCCCGAACGGGCAGGGGTACCTTTACCTTTATGGAGGCACCTTATTTAGGCAGCCAGGTTGCCCAGCCTGTTCCCCAAGTCTCCACTTGGATTCCTGCTGGTGCAAATCAGGACCTACTTAAAGGACCAGGTGCCAGAAGACTTGTAAGCCCTGGCAGCTCATCACAAGCCCATGCATTCATGAACCATGCCAGCACAGCTAGTGATACACAGAAAGATCGCCCAAGTTATAGAATTGCAACAGGAAGCTGTGCAAAACTCAGCAGAAAGCCCTTATGCCTTGGAAAGGCATGTCAAGTAGTAAAGGCAGGCAGAACAAGTACAAAACGTCCGACATTTATTTGCTTACCTGCACACTTGAAACTTTGGGCAGTCAGTCCTCTTTCCAACGACAAGGTGGTCAGGATGCTCAGAAAGCTGGTGGTAACCGACTGGCGCTTGATCTTCCTATGCTCTTTTCCGCACGACAGGCCTTGGGTTTTGTTTCTGAGTGTCACTTGCAGATTCTGACCCAAGCTCCTGGTTGCATTGGCGGCAGACTTCAAGGCCTCCATCCATTCCTGAGCTCTTTGACGGGTTTCTGCCCGCAGACGAAGCACATCTTGAGGAAAGATAACCTGAAAGCAAGAGTCACAATCATCCAGAATATCAGTCTGGACAGACAGGCACACGTCAATGTTGTAGCTCAACAGAGGGTCTTCATCAAGCCCACCGGTCTGAAACGCCATGAGGAGAGACCGGCTGAGTACAAAATGGAAAGCTTTCCAGTTATTCTGGAGCGTCAGTCTGTAAAGAGTCCCTGATTTGAGAATGTTTTGGTAGTCCTTGATGTTTTGGGTCAACGATGTGGACTGGAAAAATTGGGTAGGTTCCTTCTGTAAACCACGATTTTGGATGATGCCGCTCTCATCGTTGTCTAATTTCTGCGAGCGCCCCAGATCTCCCTGGGACCTCATGAAAGATGGTACTGAGGAATGAACAGCTTCCCAAAGCTTCTGCCCCCAGTCCAAGGCCTCCCATGGAGACTCTGCCTTAAGCTGCAGGTGCGAGTTATTGAACAGCACTGCATCAACCACATTCGTTTCCACATTGATGCTTTGGAAATGCAAAAGCAGGTAGACAGTAGGAAGGTTCTGGTTCCCACTGTTGTCAAGCCAATACAGGTACAGTTTGTATGGAGTGAGTTCTGCGCAGCATGTCTGCCAATAGCTGTCATGGTTGTTCTTAATTTCCAAGTATCCTTTCTTCAGGATATTTGAGAACGTCGGCTTGTGTTCTAGAAGAGAGTTGAAATAAATGTTAACTACAAATATTTTAAGGGACGCAGGTGGCGCTGTGGGTTAAACCACAGAGCCTAGGGCTTGCCGATCAGAAGGTTGGCAGTTCGAATCCCCGCGACAGGGTGAGCTCCCCTTGCTCCGTCCCTGCTCCTGCCAACCTAGCAGTTTGAAAGCACATCAAAGTGCAAGTAGATAAATAGGTACCGCTCCGGCGGGAAGGTAAACGGCGTTTCCGTGCGCTGCTCTGGTTCGCCAGAAGCGGCTTAGTCATGCTGGCCACATGACCCGGAAGCTGTACGCCGGCTCCCTCGCAAGATGAGCGCCGCAACCCCAGAGTCGGTCACGACTGGACCTAATGGTCAGGGGTCCCTTTACCTTTACCTTACAAATATCTTAAACTTCCTTCTCTATTGCAGTTTCTCAAATGGTGGGCCTCAGGCCACTTTCAAGTGGGACTCAGTGCCGCAGCCCAGCCACAGCCTTCTCACTCTCCTGCCATGCCCACTTACCATGCTCTACTCTTCTGGTTGGACCGATGGCACTGCCAGCAAACCTCCCCGTGCAAAATTAAGATGACAGGAAGAAGAGAGAAGGGAGATTTCCCCAGGTGTTATCAGACAGCAACAGAAAGAACTGAAATGTGCCCACTGGTCCAACAAGGTTGGCAACCCACCTGCCAGCTGTTCTTTAGCTGCAATCCCTGCATTGCAGGACGTTGGACTAGATGATCCTTTATGTCTCTTCTAACTCTAGCTATATGATTCTTTATTATGATAACCCATCCTGGGAACTTACGCTGAAGGGCAACTAAGAAATCTAATAAATGAGTAATTGTCGTCTGCACAACAGTTTTTCAAGTTTGCAGATGGGTCCATTGGCCTAAAAAGATTGGCAAGCCCTGATCAAATCACTCTGGAAGTTAGTTTTCAAATACAATGAACAAACAATCGGGTTTGAGGTATCAATGAAATGTTTCCTTTGGCTATGTGGAAACTATTGTCAAAAAATCAGATTTAGAGTCTTCTGATGGCAACAAAGATGTCTGTTGCATTTGGTTGGGAAAAGGACCCACACCAGCACCCCAAACTTGCAAAATGGCTCCACTACATTTGGGTCAGAGTTATGATGATTCAAGTGATTTAATCAGATGTACATTCATGAAAATAGGGTGACTGAAAACTGCAAGTGGAGGGACTTGGCTTGTAGCTTTGTCAGTTACTGCCCACTGGGGAGTCAAAGCACTTACTGTATTTTTCGCTCTATAAGACACACCAGACCACAAGATGCACCTAGTTTTTGGAGGAGGAAAACAAGAAAAAAAAAATCTAAATCTCAGAAGCCAGAACAGCAAGAGGGATCGCTGTGCAGTGAAAGCAGCAATTCCTCTTGCTGTTCTGGCTTCTGGGATAGCTGCGCAGCCTGCATTCACTCCATAAGACGCACACACGTTTCCCCTTACTTTTTAGGAGGGAAAAAGTGAGTCTTATAGAGCAAAAAATACGGTAACTGGACTAAGACAATCAACTTGTAACATAAGAGACTAGCAATTCCAATTAATTATTCCTTTTTACTGAGCCATAAAAACTCAGGAGTTGATTTCAAAAATCTGAACATTATTGGCAGCCATCTACATGACACACGGGTGCCTTTCAATGGGCTTCATTAGACTAAGAACTACTCCTCAAAATAAATGCAACGAAAGCAGGAAATTAAGTGAATCTAACAGCAAAGAGTATGACAGATTTACAACTCAACTCAGATGCAAGAACAACGGAGTCCATTACTTCCAGTTACAGGTGACACAGCAGGTGATAAAGGTGAGAAACTCTGAAGAAACAATAACTGAAATTTCTTTGGTTACATTGTGAGTAGGTAGGGCTGAGCGATATCTGGTTTTCAATACTGCAATATATCACCAGCTAAACATTGCAATATACCAATACATCACAATGTCTGAAATGATGGAACTATGTAGAGGTGAACAGTAGGGCTGGGCGATAACTGCTTTCCAACATTGTGATATGTCACCAGCTAAACATCACAATATAATGATATATCACAATGTATGAAATAAGGATGGAACTATGTAGAGGTATTGGCTGGTTTCCCCCACATTGTGATTTTTGCATAGCACATGCACACACACACACACACACACACATCATGATTTGCAATATATTGCCAGGTCAAAAGTTATGAAACCGGTATCACAATATGGACTTCAAACTGGTTTTGGACGATGTATCGCCGAGCCCTAACAGGAGTTCCATTTTAATTCTACATAACTTGCGTCTCCTGCACATACCTGACATCACAGGATGAAGTGAATCCCTCCCGGTGGCATTACTCCCTCTTCTCTCTTGCAAACGCCTACTATGCACCCATGCTCAGGGACTGTGTGCTCCCACGGGGCTCTCCTTCCTTCTCTTTTGTGGGTTGTGCTTCAAAACAGAGGTTTAAAGAGTGCAAAGGAATTTGATCCCTGTCTATAGGGATGCCTGGGGGTCTGCAGGGCTGGCTATGCCACTGGTGGGCTAGGTAATGTATCTATACATCACCCAAAATTGGTTTGAAGCCCACATCATGGTAACGGTTTCGGAATATTCAACATGGTGATATACAGTGGTACCTCGGGTTAAGAACTTCATTAACCTGAAGCACCACTTTAGCTAATGGGGCCTCCTGCTGCCACTGTGCCAGCACTCAATTTCTGTTCTCATCCTGAAGCAAAGTTTTTAACCCGAGGTACTATTTCTGGGTTAGCGGAGTCTGTAACCTGAAGCTTCTGTAACCTGAAGCGTCTGTAACCCAAGGTACCATTGTACTGTGAATTGTGATGTGTGTGGGGGGGGGGGGGCTATGTAAAAAATTGTGATGTGGGAAAAACCATGAAGCCAGTCATTGCTTCTCTTATGATTCCTGCTACCCCTGTTGTACTAGAAAGTAACAGATGTAACAATATGTTAGAGATAAGTAAAAATGTGTCAGTTTTAGAACCCTAAGTAGTAGCAGTTTCCAGGACATTACCTCGTTTGCCTCTACATTGTTGCATCCTTATTTCAGACCCTTTGATATATCAATATATCATGATGTTTAGTGGGTGATATATTGTGATGTTGAAATTCAGACAAAGGGGGTGTGCTATGGCACTGCCTTGCACATTGAGTTTTTCGAGATGCACTGCCACCACTGCGAGTTCAGCGGCTCCCTCCACATTTGGGTGTTGCCATTGATAGAAAGTTTCTGATTGGTGGGGAATGGCAGAACTTCCAGGGGTGCTGGGGAGAGTGCCTGTCACTTTTGCATTTCCTGGATATGTGTGTGTCTCCCTCCCAGGCTGAGAATGCATCGGATTTGGTGCTTGTGTAGTAACAACGCATCTTCACGCCTGCCGTAACGTGAGTGCATAACATCCAAAACGCAGCTTCCAAAAAGGAGCTTTATTTCACATAAACTGCTGGGGCAGTGGGGGGGGGTAATTAAATTCAATCTAAATTGGAAAAAGAAAAGGCCTTTAAAAAAAAAAGTGTTGATGAGGCAAGAGTATAAGGAAGAAACCAATTTGATTTGCCTTCCCTCTCTGGTCCTAACATTCGTTGGGATTTCTGCGCTAACTCAAAAGCCATTAATTTATTTGAAAGCCACACAGATCCCTTTGTAGTGCCGATCATGCGCATATATTCCACAGTTACCTTCCCTTTCTGTTAATCATCCAATAAGAGAAACAGCGCAGCTACCGCAGACCCAAAGTGAAACTTAAGCCTGTTGTTCACATTTCCATCAGGCACAGGTGACTCTTCCAAGCTTCTCCCAGGTTTTATGCCACACTCACCACTGTTTCCCCTCCCTCCTGCCTTTAGCAGAGACTTGCTTGTCTTTTGTTGAAAGAGAGAGAGAGAGAGAGAGAGAGAGGAGCTGTCTCTCCTCCCCATCTTTCACAGCCAGACAGTCTCTCTGCCAGGTTTTTCTCTCCAGCTCCTGTGAACTGGCTTCATCTGCTCCCACTTAAACTGGGACAATGACAGTGGCCGACTTGATTAAAATTCAAATGCAGCGGACCCTTCTGATTTGAGAAGTGGCCGGCTCCTGACATAGACAGGTGGAATCACAGCTGCACCCCCCCCCCAATCTCTCACTCTGGTTCCCTCCTGCCACCTCACCTGCCTGGTGTACAAAAGCTGCATAATACCTTTCCGCTGAGTGCTTTCTGTCCACCCTCTAAAATGGAAGCAGCATTTCTCTTCACTCTTTCCCCAAACAAGGAAATTAAATCAAGGCAGAGCGAATCAGAGCCCATCATAGAAAATAGGAGATAATCACACCAAATAGCCTACATCTGGGGTGCCTTCCTTTTTTTAAAAAAAAGTAATTTCTTGAGAAATAAGGACCAAAAGAAGAAAACAGCGAAGAAAACAACCTGCTGAGAGCCTTATAAGATTCCTCTTATCTACAGATTATATCCCTTTTCTTGCTGTATTAGGTCTCATTACAATCTTTTTTGCATACACTGTGTTTCAAAAACGGTTGTTCACAGAGGGCAACATTTCTCTCCTTTTGTGCTCAAATAGTCTCCCCAGGTACTAGAAGAGGAAAAATTTGAAAGTGGCATGAGCAAAACCTGGGATGTTTATCACAGATAAATAATCTTGTATTGGTGGTCTGGTCTGCAAATAATAGAAGAGCTGTCTGATGGAATCAGCCCCCAAATCCATCTAGTACAGCCTTGTAAGGAAGCCCACAAAAGATACCTGCAAAGGAAGGATAGAAATGCAGCTAGCCTGTCTAGGACTGGCAGCTGTGGGAACTGAGAGCTCCGGCCTCCTACAAAACTGCCCCATCCCTGCTGAGCAGAGAGGAAAGGACTTTCCCCCTCAGGCAGCCTGCTTGGTTTCTACACTGGGTGCCAAGGATGGATGGAGAGCACCATGTTGGTATGCGGTCCCTTGTTGCCCATGGCTATCAGGTGAGTGCTTCAATATAAGGCTGAACAGGTGCCTTGAGGAAGCTTGAACATGGCATGGAGGGGCATCCGTGCTTCCTCATTGGCTTCCCATCCCCAGTGGCAGGCTGCCTTGCAATGCAGATGTTCCATTTAGCTCTTATGCCTAATCTCCATTGATAGGCCTGTCTTACAGGCCACCCCTAGAGTCCTGCGTTCAGTTCTACGGAGCACCCTTCAAAGGTGCTCATCGTATCCAACCTAAACTTTGGATTTTTAAACTGGTTTTAAAAAACCAAACATATTTTCCAAGTCGCCCTTTCCTAGTAGCCCTTTCCATGTTGCAAAATATACAGTTGGCCCGCCACTTAGGCGAGGGTTCAGTTCTAGGGGCACATGTGCAAAGGCAAAATCACGCAATATCAGGAACAACCCCCCCCCCCGCACTCCCAGAGCCTTCCCCAAGGCCTGGTGAGCGGAACACCTCTGGGAGCATTCCAGAGACCTCTTGCAACCTTCCAGATCCTGGTAAGCAAGGAAAATCCACTGGGTGCATGGGACAGGGGGAAATAAATACATGGAGAGTGGGTAACGTGAGTTTTCCCTGCTCTCCATTTATTTAACACCCTCCCCCCCCACACACACATATAAGGTTGCGATCACATAGGTAAAATGAGCAAAAGTTGCAGGCCCACTATAGTATGATTTCTTCTTTTAGTAGCCTTTGTACTAACCCCCCCCCCCCCCCAAAAATCCTGGCCTTTTTATAATTGCTAATGCTTTCACCTTTATTAATTTTTATTATTTTAGGTCATTGCATTTACAGTGTTTTCCTTACACTGTGATTCTCCTTGGGCCAAATATAAATAATTTGATAAACTAAAGTGCTAAAAATTAGCCATAGTGTCAGAACTGCATAGGCTGACCATCCTGGGATTCAAAGTCACTACCTTTGTCCTCATAGAAAGAATCAGTGAACAGAGCATCCTACAGATTCTCTCCCTTACTTCCAGATACTGTAGTGAGCTGGGTAGCATAATTTAGACAGGCTGCAGAATCAAAGTCTTCTACTGCCAAATGTGTCACAGAAATATTTATATTTACAACCGTAACTCAAGTTGAGTTCCTCTGCTTTTAAGGTTGAGAAACGGGCAACTTGCTTGAGACAATCTTTGCAACCCATGGTGGGAATTGGGAACTGAATTTCGAGGTTCACAGCTCCAAATCCAACCTGGGATTGTGTTGCCTCACCAAACCTGTCACTTTCTGCCTTCGCTAAGAGACAGGCACCAAAAGAAGAAGAAGAAGGAAGCCAGGTGTAGCAAAGTATCAAGCACTCACCAGAGTTCCCTTGAATGTCCTCTCCCTTTTCGAATCCAGTTGGTGCAAATGAAAGTTTAGGACATCGATTGTCTTGATTAGACGGCTGCTGTGAAGAAGCATCAGCTAAGATGACACCCCAGTCTATGTGGCTGACGTCTGAGCGTGACCGGTTGTGGCCTGGCTTGAAAGTGGCCGTTTCCTCACTCTGCACTATAATATCATTCACAGAACGGGGCCGACCCCGCCTCCTCTGGCAGATGTTAAAAGCCGAGGCCTCCCCCCGTTCCACCCAAGAGAGGTTGTCTGGAACCATTCCCCTTTGTACTCCAAACTGTTCTTTGGCAGGAATTGCAGTCTGCACTTTGGTTTCCAAGAGTCCGTTTTTGCAGTGCTCCCAAACGAGGTTGGTTTTCCCCAAAGTGATGTTCCTCAGGTCTCCGCAGGCTGCAATCCTATTAAACACCTCGTGGCCGACCAGCTCAGGAACTTCCTGGACCCCGTAAACCTCTGGCGGCTGCACATTCTCTCGTTTAGCATCAAATGTGCTAAAGAAATCTTCCGTCACTTCCAAGGCCGGACTGATGTCATCGACCTCCAACGCCTCCATTTTATTGGCAGTCAGAGCAGAAACTTTGGGGGAATTTTGTCAAAAAAACAACATAAAAATTCCAGGCGCAGAAGAGGAAGGTGCCTCAGGAAAGATTCTGACACTGTTTGAACGAGGAGGTGATGGGAGCTAAATGGTTAGGGTTGCAACTGGCATCGGCCTTCAGATGTTTGGCTTGACTTCCCTTTGTAAACGTGCTACTGAAGAATAACTTGCCCTCTGACTTACCAGTCTAAATGGTAAGATAGGATGGGAGGGTATTGGCTGTGCAGTAGAAGTCCGCAGAATCTGGATTTTCCTGTAAAACATGTTACAAAACCATGTTAGTGAAGTTGCTCTCTCACCAGAGACAGGGTGAGTGGAACACCAGCAGAGAGATGCTGTTCTGCATGTCTTATCTGCAAAACGCCTATCAACACTCAAATGTTATAGGGTTCTCCGAGTATGGGCCATAACTTCACTAGACTAACTAAAGGAAGATTGCAAGTGCTTCAAGTTCCCTCAGGCTGTAGAAAAAGTGGTGCAAAGGGAACGGAGGTTAGGAGTCTGAGGGGGAAGATGCAAGGCGACGAGGCAGAGAGCTCAAGGGGTAGCCAACATTCACAGACACTTGGTTTCTGAAGCTCTGGGGAGAGGAGAAGAATCAGTGGGGCAACAACCATATTTTCCTCCTTAGGCTTTTTGGTCCCAAGAACACACACTTCAGAGATGTCTCTATCTTAATAGCCCTCACAGATATTTTTTCTTTACAACTGATCACACTTCTTTTGTCTAAGATACACTTGCACCTGATTGTGTTTTCTTGACCTAAGAAGCCCTTTGTGGCAAAGTCCAAGTACATACATATTTATCACTCAGCACTGTTAATTAATATACGTTGCAGAACATTTATTGGGCAGGTATATGCCCTGTTTGTTATTCTTTAATTTGAGTGGCTGCCTGTGAAAAGGGTTTCAGTGCCAATGGCACTGTGACAAACAATTTGTTTACATCTCTTGATTCAGTCAAAGCAATTGACCCCATTTTCTAGTTAAACAACTCTTGTGTTCTTCAGACCAAAACACATCTAGTCACTTAAATAGCCACAAATTAACACCCACCAGCCCATAAACACTGTGATTTATTTTCATAATTTAAGCTAGCAATTAAACTGCCTAGACATTGAACAATTTAGTATACTCTGTGCAAGGTTAACTGACTAAAATGCTTTGATCGGCTGCTATTTTTACATGGCAATCTTATACAGGTCTACTCACAATCAAACCCCGTGGAGATCCACCAGGTAAAATGCAGCCTTGGAGATCACTTTTTCTTAGATTGGCATTATAAGCATTTTCTGCCGCATCACTTGGGTACATCCAAAACTATTTTACTGCCAAAATATTTATCAGTTGCAAATCGCAAGCCCTGTGATGGGAAGACATGACTCAGCGTCATTGTACAATAGTGGAGAAACCACGATGTAGCGAGATTTCCACTGGCCGGTTACAATCAAAGGAGATTCCCAGAAGTGTTGGTAACTCGGTTTTCAAATAAGGGATAAGGCGGACCAAGAAAAAAAAAGAAAGAAACCTATCATCTTTGTTATTATTACTGACAAAATGTCCGACGTAATGACAGGCGGAGTGTGAGCCTGTATACTGCTCTGGGGAAATGCAATACATCTTTGTGTGCTCTGGACCAGAAATATACTCTATCCCCTTGTGAGAGGTCTGTCAGCGGAAGGCCACCCAGTGTCACTGCTGGTTTTGCCCTCACCACAAAAGTGTGTCCTCCCACCCAGCACACAACAGCACACAAACGCAGCACTGTTCTCTTCCCCATAAGAGAGAGAGGCAGTGTTTAGAAACTCAAATAATATAAGCTAATCACCAAATGGCACCTTAAATCTAGATTACGGTCGCTACAACGGTATGACTAGGTGCCACCTCCGCCCCCGGCCGGGTTTGTTGTTGTTGTTTATTTCATTTCTATATCACTTTATGTTTTAAAGATAAAAATCTCAAAGCAGTTTACAACACATTTAAACATCAAATGAAACAACCCAGGATAAAACTAAGTCAAGCTTCAAGGAAAATATAGTTTGCTTTCCCCATACAGTGGTACCTTGGGTTACAGATGCTTCAGGTTACATACGCTTCAGGTTACAGACTCCGCTAACCCAGAAATAGTACCTCGGGTTAAGAACTTTGTTCAGGATGAGAACAGAAATCGTGCGGTGGCAGCGGGAGGCCCCATTAGCTAAAGTGATGCTTCAGGTTAAGAACAGTTTCAGGTTAAGAACGGACCTCCAGAACAAATTAAGTACTTAACCCAAGGTACCACTGTATTTATTTTCCTACTTAATTTACAGAGCTGCCCCATAGCAGCAGGATTCTAGGGAGCCAGTGGGGTGTAGTGGTTAGAGTGTTGGACTAGAACATGGGAAATCAGGGTTCAAATCCCCACTCAGTCATGAAGCTCACTTGGAGCCTCCTAACCTACCTCACAGGGTCATTGCAGGGAATGACTAAAGAGTGGTGTGAACCATGTACTCCTTGGAGAAAAATGTGGCAAACTGACGCAAGAAATAACCTCTTCTGCTTACCTTCTTAAGAAAGCTGGAGGGGGCAGCCAGGTGGAGATGTCAGTCGCCAGCCTTGCATCCAGATATCTCCACCTGGTCACAATTTGATCCATGCCAGTCGCAAAACGCGCCTGGCACCTGGCTGATTTCGAACACTGGAAAGTGGCAACTGTTTGCTGATGACAGTGAAAATAAAGACATGCACTTGTGGATAACGCTGGAGAGTGTGTGTGTGAAGTAACTACCCCCACACCTGAGTGATACCACTGTCTTGGCAAATGGTAGTTTCCTCCCCCTCTGAACTAAGGAGGAGGCTGCAACCTGTTTATTTTGTCCCTTGGCACCAAGCCTGCTACCTCCATGGTTCTATCCTGGGTTCTGCTTCTCAGTCAAGTAGTAGAGTTCACTATTAAGGACACAAGAGAAGCCTGCAAACTGGCATGGGCAGATTAAACCAGGTGTGGGGAACCTCAGGTCTGCCATATGCCGCTGAACTACAACTCCCATCATCCCTGGCCATTGGTCATGCTTGCTGGGGCTGATGGGGGTTACAGTGCAGCAACATCTGGCAGCCCTAAGGTTCCCCACACCTGGTTTAGGTAGCTGATCACAGGAGCCCCTGGATTCTTGTTGCCAACTTCGGTTTCAGCAGTTCAGAAAGAGGGCTACCAGATTCAGACCCAGAGACTGCCTGAAGCTTGAAGAGCTGCAGGGCAGAAAGAGAGTACAGTGGTACCTCGGGTTACATACGCTTCAGGTTACAGACTCTGCTAACTCAGAAATAGTACCTCGGGTAAAGAACTTTGCTTCAGGATGAGAACAGAAATCACGTGGCAGCAGTTGGAGGCCCCATTAGCTAAAGTGGTGCTTCAGGTTAAGAACAGTTTCAGCTTAAGAACAAACCTCCGGAACGAATTAAGTACTTAACCCGAGGTACCACCGTATGCAGCAGCAGTCTATCTGACCCTCAGTGCTTTAACTGTTTATCCATCCATTCTGCAGGGTTCAGTGAGAATCCTAAAGAAGAGAAAGGCCTGCTTTTCAAAAGCAAATTCCTATTCCTCAGTGCCTGAAAGACATGCTGAAAAAATGTGTTGGCAGTTTCTGTTGTAGGACTGAGTGGAGGCTTCAGACGTTATGGGAGATTTCACTTTATTCAGCCTAACAGTTTCCCCTCTAGTTTCCATTCCCCTGAACTAGCAAACCTGTCTAAATACATATTAGGGCAATGCCTTTATTGGGCCAATAAAAATGTCATAAAATACTGTGCAATTTTGGCTGGCCTAATAAAAGTAGTGCCCTAATATTTGGCATTTTTCTTATAGGTCGACTCAGCTACCTGTATATTTTCTACATAGAACTGAATTGCAAACATCTAAAAGCCGAAATCTGAATTCAGCACGGCTTCATCTACAGCATATCTATATGCAGGGAAAACCAGAGTAATCTTAGCACTATGGAGACAACAAACCCATTCTGAATTAAACCAGTGAGAAATGATACAAGATTAAAGGAGCCTGAGAAAATCTATCAATGTTAGTGTTAGTGTTGTTTTTTTTTTGAGTTTGTTTGTTTGTTTTAAATAATATTTATTAAAGTTTCAAAAGAAGAAAAATCACATTAGTAAAAAGATTAACAATAAAGAGAAAAAAATACAAAGTAGAAAAAAGAAAAAACAGTTAAAAACAATTCCATCTTTTCATCACTTCTTTTACATTTACTTGTTTCCTGGACCTCCTCATACCTCCCTCTTTTGTATTCCAATTCAATTTGTTAATCCAACAATTCCTTTCCCTCCTTTTTAATCCTGATCTTTAATCTTGATATATTATAACATTAAATTTTTACGTATTAAAAACCAATTTTTCCATATTCTTTTGTACCTGTACAGCTAGAAACCACTTAACTTCAATCCAACATCATTCTAACATTCATTAATTTTGCAATATTTCTGTAAATAGTCTTTAAATTTCTTCCAATCTTCTTCCACCGACTCTTCTCCCTGGTCACGGATTGGGAATGTTAGTGTTAGTGTTAGTCAGCTAAAGATTATCCATCACTCTCCATGGCGAAAGATCTAGCAACAATAATTCATAATATAGCAGCAATTTAAGCAATTTCAGTCTCTCTCACATGCATGACTTTAAATGCAGAAAATGAAAGAAGAAACAGAACTGTTTGCCATATACAGGAGCACTTCTCTAAAGCTCTGTTAGAGCAGCTTCTGCTAAGCAGGGCTGACTATCCAGGCTGACTATCCCTCTGTATTACTGTCAGTCTGACTTCCAGTCTGAAACCTCTCAGGAGCAGGTGACAAGGAAAAGAAGAAGTGGCTCAGTTCAGAGGTTGAATGCAAAGCAAAACACTGACTCACCAGGGAAATCATGTCATGCAGCGACCTTTCCCAAGCATTTTGCATGTCGTCAACCAGAGGAAGCATTTATACCCAAGGCTCAAGGTACCGAATCTTCCTATCAACACAGCAACACTGAGAAGCAGTCAGAGAACTTCCTGGAAACTCTTGTCTTTTTTGAATACACTATTTAGCACAACTGCTGCTGCTGGCTTCTAAGAAACCTCCCTCACACACACACCCCAAACCCTTCTGATTTAACTCTCAGTAGCAGGGGTCCCCACAAAGCAAGAAACTTCACTAGGGTTGAATGAAATCACAGTATATCTGAAAGGTTGTGGTAAGAATAAGGAGGCATTCAACTAAATCAGAGTTTTCCAAACTTGGGTCTCCAGCTGCTTTTGGACTCCCATCATCCTTAGCTAGCAGGACCAGTCGTGGTCAGGGATGATGGGAACTGTAGTCCAAAAACAGCTGGAGACCCAAGTTTGAGAAACTTTGAACTAAATAAACACACAAGTGCAGCTAGTTCTGCTTGAATGACGGGACTTCCCCCTGTCCCTTCCCCAGACACATCCACCCTGCTGTCCCCAAAGTTGCTCCAGAGGGTTGGAGGAAACCCCAAAACAGATTTAGGGGGCACATGGGGGGGAGAGAGAGGGAAGAAAGTCCCATTGCACAAGCAGAAGCATTTCACTCATGCAAAGCACTACCTGGCGATCTGCTGAATACAACCCATTGCTATCACAACATTATCAACATCATACATTCAGAAATATTTCATCATCTAGCTGGATCTAGCCATAGAATGTGCCCAGACTGGCAGCTTGTTGTGCCCTTTATTACACATATCATATTTTGACTCTCCTCCACCTCTTTTAGCAGCTCCTGATGTTTATAATTATTTTACTGCATTTCCAAATTAAACCTATTTATTATTTATCACATATAGTCAATATTTGTTTTATATCACTGCACATTTTTGTAATTAATCCTGCTAATGTCTTAATCTGTTCGCAATATTTTTAAGTATTTAAAAAATGATTTCAACTCTATATTAAAAACTTTGTCATCTTGAACGTACCGGGGTTTTGTTCCTGTCCCTTGCGTGCATCAGAGGAGCACGCATAAGCCTGTTAGGCCCTATTTTCAGCCACTTCTAGGTTGCTGTGATGCACGCATGCACAGCCACACGTCAATCGGATGTGCATAAATTGGTCACTGCCTGTTATGTCAAAATCAGCACTTTGAATTGAGCCCAGAAACTTATCGGCAGTCAGTGCAATTGTGCCAGAATCAGTGTAATATGAACATACCTTCAGGGCTCACTCAACAATCTGGCTGCTGAATTCTGCACTAGCTATAGTCTCCAAATTGTCTTCAAAAGCAGCCCCACGTGGTCATCTAGCCCAGACATTATCAGAGGATAGACACTACCTTATCCTCATCCAGAGAGGGTCACAGCTGGGTTCCCAGCAGAAGGTTCATGGCACCAAAGCAATTTGTGCCTCCGATAACAGAAGCGGATCCAGAAGTCCCGCTAAATTGTGCACCTGCCTCTTTAGGGGGAGTGCAACTCCTTCCAGAACAGAATGAACCCCACCCATCCGGTGAGTAGTAGAAATCAAGGAGAGCACTCAACAGCCCAGTTCCTGGCCCAAGAAAAGGGAACTCAGAATTTGAGATGGATGAAGAAAAAACTCATCTCCACTGTCCCTTGTATCATGCTGAAGGTTTATACAGTGGTACCTTGGGTTAAGTACTGTATTTTTTGCACCACAACACTCACTTTTTTCCTCCTAGAAAGTAAGGGGAAATGTCTGTGCGTGTTATGGAGGGAATGCCTACGGGTGGCATGCCTACGGATTTTCCTCCTCTAAAAACTACGTGCATGTTATGGTCGGGTGCGTGTTATAGAGCGAAAAATACGGTACTTAATTCGTTCTGGAGGTCCATTCTTAACCTGAAACTGTTCTTAACCTGAAGCACCACTTTAGCTAATGGGGCCTCCTGCTGCCACTGCGCTGCTGGAGCACGATTTCTGTTCTCATCCTGAAGCAAAGTTCTTAACCCGAGTTACTATTTCTGGGTTAGCGGAGTCTGTAACCTGAAGGCGTCTGTAACCTGAAGCGTATGTAACCCGAGGTACCACTGTACTTAGTTATCAGTGTTTTCTCCAACAGGCTACATGTTTCAGTTCTGGATAAACAGACCCTGTTTCACTCTCAGTTAGTACAAAAATACATTGACCTTGGAATTCTCCTACTAACAGAACAAAGCCATGCATATGTTTGCATTTTCTTTTTGCCATGGAGGAAACTCTGAAGCATCATCTATGCTCAGCACAAACAAAAGCAAGTCATACAGACATTGCTAGAGATGAGGTCATTAAGCAGGGAGGCTGATGATGAGATGGCTGTTTATAACCATACTCCCTTTTTCTATACTTCCAGTTCCTGTAACTGAACCAGGAAGGAAGAAAAATGTGGAGTCTGTTATATTGCTTCACATGAGAGAATTTGTGGCAGCAAAAATGAATAAATCAGGTAATTTCAAAAGATGTTGCAGCACTGTCTTTTGGATGCTAGGGGCATGCCTGTCCATAATTTAAGCAAAAGGAAGTCTCTGTGTATTCAACAGAACTTAGACCCTAACTAAAAGGAAATTATGCTATTGAGAATATCATAACCAAAATAGGAAAATATTTCAAATATTTGCCAGCATCAAAACCCAGGAGGATTATTCCAACCCCCATTTTCAGGGCAGTTTTAAAGACGAATATGTAACATTTAAATGGTCTTATTCTTCTCTCTTTCTGCAGAATAGCCATGTGCAGCCCAGGAAAAGAGAAGATAAATAGACTCCTCCTCGTCTCTCTACTTAATCCAATTTGCAACTGTTGAATCCTTCACATTCATCTGGATTGTTCCATGGCCTGCATCCTAGACTGGAAGGGGGATACTCTGAACAAAGTACTGACATACTATAGTACAGCCTTGTAAAAAAGTTTACAACAGTTACTAGCCCACAACATTTTTATAAGCACGCCTACCTGCCTTATTTTCCTCTGCTCCAACCCAATCTTGGAGGGAGTTCTATGCCTGGTTACCTTAAAGAGCACTATTAAATGACAGGTGAATGTACTGTTTCCTATAAAATATCTCCTAACATCTCCATAGTAGGAAAGTTGGCTTTTTATTGGCAAGTTGATCAAACTGGTTCACTTCCTCTCTAGTCAGTATCAGTCCACAAGGATGGAGTTTTGCTACAGTTTATATACTTGATATTCAGTCATTCTGAGAATGGTGTATTATATAGTTTATGGTTATTGTGAAAGAATCTGTGGCAGTGAAAACTACTGGGATTTAAGTAACTAACAATGCAATCCTATACATATCCTCTTAAGAACCAGCAAGTTCAATGGAAGTCACCTGCAGTTAAGACTGCAGCCTATACTGGATTTAAAACAGAACAAATGCTAATCTTAATCACATTTGCTTGTGAGTAACAAGTCTTATTAACATCAGTTAGATATATGTATGGGTGTGTGTTTATGTATATGCATATATGTGTGTGTACATCTCTGTGTGTCTGTACACACACACACATATACAAACACACATTCAAAATTAGCCAGGCACCAGACACATTTTGCACCTGCCTATTGGCCACTTGCTACCAAGTGAAGATGCCTGACATCATTTGGAGGGCATATCTGGGGATCATTGGATCTTGACTATTTTCACACACTAATACAACATCCTGTAGGAACAGGCCAATATATATGTAGACTGTCCCTGGATAAAGTGACTTTTCTTCTTTCAGTTCTCAAAGTTCTTAACCTAGCTCAAGGTTGCCATCTGAACTAGCCAAATGTTTAACAGATAATCACAGCCAGTCCATTATTTGAAAAAATAAGACTTTCAAACCGTCTTGCCCCAAAATGGCAACTATAACCTCCTTTTTCACACTTTGCATTCTGGAGTAAAAATATGTGCGTTCTCAAGGAAGCCTGGGTAACATGGTACACTCAGAACACAAATAGTAAACTATTTTCCATAATGCTTAAAAATAATAATCAAAGAGAACATTAATATGCTTTTAACTCTGATTCAACAATTTGCATGCCTTCAGAGGGCACCACATATGTGGTGCACATGTAATGTGCTAGAGAGCTATTCTGGTAGAGTCTTGCCTGAAACAGGGAGACCTGGCCTCAAATCTGCACTGCACCACAAAGTTCACTGAGTGATTTCAAGGCACCTGCCATCATTCAGTTTAAAGGAATTCAATTTATTCCATAGGGTTGTTGCAATGATACAAGTGGGATGGGGATGGGGAGAGGGGGATAGGAGGCTCTTACACATTACCTTGGAAGAAGGGCAGGTGAAACACTACGTAGAGAAGAGAACGAATATATTTTAGATGCAGCAACAACGACAAAACACAGTTTACATAAAACGCTTAAGCCGACTGCACAGCTTTGTGCTTGTCCTGCAGTTACTGCGTGGCTTCTTTGGTGAAAGCTATAACTGCATCCATGGGATGACCTAATATTGCATAATTTAAGGAGCTGGGGGGGGGGAGAGGGGAGGACGGGGGGGGGGGGACACAGAGGATGAATACAGATCCAGGCACAAGAAATGCACAACAACAACAACAACAACAACAACAACAAACCCCCAAGCTGCTTGGTTTTATAAGGATGCCCGCCTCCTAAAAGTGCCAGGCTGCAGAGCCTGCAGAGCAAAGAGGGCACCTGGCCCAATAAGGAAGGCGCCACAAACGCCCAGGCTGGACCTTCGGGATGGTCAGCGGCAGAGCCGGCCTTTCCACCCCCAGCTGCGGAGCCTCCAGGGACTCAGCCCGCAAAGGCAAAGGGGCTCAAGCCACAAGGCAGCCTCGACCCGGACTCCGCAGCAGCCGCCCACGCGCCGCCCGGGGGTCCCGCATTTATCCCCCCCCCCCCGGTTTCCCTTGCCTTCTCTTCCCGTCCTCCTCGCTCCCTCCGCCACCGGCCACACACACCGGCAACCGCCCTCAGCCTCAGCCGCCGCCGCCGCCTCGGCTCTCTCTGTTTACAACCTGCCCTGGCCCGGTGCTCGCCTCAAACGCTTCCCCGCAGCAGCCAGGGAAACAAGAACCGGCAAGAAGGTTCCGGCAGGCAGCCTGTTCCGCACTCCTCAGCCCCGCCCAACATAAAGATAATGATGACGATTATTATTATTATTATTATTATTATTATTATTAGACCGCCCTATACCCGGGCGTCCTCAGGGCAGTTCGCAAAATACAATCAAGATACAAAACCACAAAATACATAATAAAAATAAAAACAACAACCTAATAATAGTATAATAATATAATAGTATAATAATATAATAATAGACAGCATCTTAAAAAGTAGAGACATCAGCTTGCCAACAAAGGTCCGTATAGTTAAAGCCATGGTTTCCCCAGTAGTGATGTATGGAAGTGAGAGCTGGACCATCAAGAAGGCTGATCACCGAAGAATTGATGCTTTTGAATTATGCTGCTGGAGGAGACTCTTGAGAGTCCCATGGACTGCAAGAAGATCAAACCTATCCATTCTGAAGGAAATCAGCCCTGAGTGCTCACTAGAAGGACAGATCCTGAAGCTGAGGCTCCAGTACTTTGGCCACCTCATGAGAAGAGAAGACTCCCCGGAAAAGACCCTGATGTTGGTAAAGATGGAGGGCACAAGGAGAAGGGGACGACAGAGGACGAGATGGTTGGACAGTGTTCTCGAAGCTACCAGCATGAGTTTGACCAAACTGCGGGAGGCAGTGGAAGACAGGAGTGCCTGGAGTGCTCTGGTCCATGGGGTCACGAAGAGTCGGACACGACTAAACGACAACAACTTGCAAGGCATTGATTACGAAACTGGCAACTGGGGAGACTGACACCCCAAGTTTAGGCCACTTGCTCTTCTGCAGTTTGATTATCTGAAGAACGAGGCACTTACAAAAAGCTTCACGAAAAAAGCTGCTCTCTGGCTTTTCCCTTGAACCAGTTTGCTTGTTCCTATCTCACAACTCTGCAAGCAGACAAGTCACTTCCGTGATACAGGCGCTCAACAGCATTTAATGATTATTCAGCATTTTATGTAATGCTTTTGGAACATTCAAAATCAGTTCACACACATGAAATCTTTACAATAGCAATGTAAGCTAGACTAGTATTTTAAATCTCTAACTTACAGGTGGTGTTCTGAGCCTGACAGAAGCATGGCCCATTTAAGGTCATTTATGGAATTCATAGATTAAGTCAGATTTAAACTGGGGTCTTCTTCTGTCAGAGTAGCAGCTAAATAAATGTGTGCAGTGTGACTCTTGCAAGCCTCCACCCCCTTAATGACAACTCCCCATCCCTCCCAAGGAAAGTTTGATAAGCTACTGATCGCTTCTTGAAAGTCCGCTATCAATACTTGGCGCTAAGCAGCTTGCAAGCCATGGTTTTCCCAGTAGTGATGTATGGAAGTGAGAGCTGGACCATGAAGAAGGCTGATCGCTGAAGAATTGATGCTTTTGAATTATGGTGCTGGAGGAGACTCTTGAGAGTCCCATGGACTGCAAGAAGATCAAACCTATCCATTCTGAAGGAAATCAGCTCTGAGTGCTCACTGGAAGGACAGATCCTGAAGCTGAGGCTCCAATACTTTGGCCACCTCATGAGAAGAGAAGACTCCCTGGAAAAGACCCTGATGTTGGGAAAGATGGAGGGCACAAGGAGAAGGGGACAACAGAGGACGAGATGGTTGGATAGTGTTCTCGAAGCTACGAACATGAGTTTGACCAAACTGCGGAAGGCAGTGGAAGACAGGAGTGCCTGGCGTGCTCTGGTCCATGGGGTCACGAAGAGTCGGACACGACTAAATGACTAAACAACAACAACAATAATAGTATAATAATAATAATAACAATAATAATAATAATAATAATGCAGACCCTACATCATGGGCATAGCCAGGATTTTTGTTGGGGGGACAGAACCTCAGTTATTTAAGTATTTTTTATTGATTTACTTGATTTAGAAGGGGGGCAATTGTCCCCCCCCACCCCCATATGTCCCTATTTTCCAGGGACAGACCCGGATTTACAGAAGCCGTCCTGGTTTCTGATTTGATCCCAGAATGTCCCGCTTTTCCTTAGGACAGCCCTATTTTTAACGGAGAAATGTTAGAGGGTATGGAGTTATGTGACCCCCCAAGCAAATGTAAGTAACCATACAACCTTTATAAGACATCTGAAAGGAAGTTTTTGTAATGTTTGATGTTTTATTATGTTTTTATATATGTTGGAAGCTGCCCAGAGTGGCTGGTGCAACCCAGTCAGATGGGGGTTGGTGGGGTATAAACATTATTGTTGTTCTTATTATGATGGAATAGGATGTCCCTATTTTCATCGGAGAAATGTTGGAGGGTATGGAACAGGAATAAACAACTTGTGATGGCTGATAACAATAATAACACTAATAACGGATAATTGTAAAAATTTAAAAACACGGGCAGGACTGAAATAGCTCTTACAATATATGACAGATATAAGAGTTAAAAAAATACGCGATACAAGAAAATAAGGGATGCTCGCTGAAGAGATGGAGGGAAGTCGCAGGCTCAGCAGAGCTAAAAGTATTTAAGTGATTTATTGTAATGTATTGTAAAAGTATGTATAAGGAAAATAATAAAAATTTCTTTTAAAAAAACCAACACTAATAACAACAATATCAGTGTGTGACGGCAGGTAACAGCCAGAGCCCCTAGCGTTATGATAATCTCAACATTGTGGGTACTTTTCAAAAGAAAAAGCCCGTTGGTTCTTTTATTCTGTTCCCCCCACATCATACACACAATTGGCTTTTCTGGGATTTTGAGATGTTCACTAGGGCTAGCGTAGTTATCTAGTCCAACCTCCTGCAATGCAGAAATCTAAATGAAAGCATCCAAGACAGATGGCCATCCAACCTCTACTTAAAAACCTCCAAGGAAGGAGCGTTCACAATCTCCCAAGGATGGAACAGCTCTTACTGTTTAGAAAGCTCTTTCTGATGTTTAGTCGGAATCTCCTTTCTTGCAACTTGAAGCCGTTGGTTCGGGTTCTGCCCTCCAGAGAAGGAGAAAACAAGTATGCTCCATCATCCACGGGACAGCCCTTTAAATATTTGAATATATACGAATTTGAATATATATGAATATATATTCATATTCATATATATTCATTTGAATATATATGAATATATGAATTTGAATATATATGCATGGGAGGAGCTCCTGTCCTGTTTTTTGATGCCTGCTATCTGTAGTTTTATAAGTACTCATATTAAAAACATTTTTTGTAAATGCGTTGTTCAATTAATAAAGGATGCTATTATGTATATAATTGCCAGCACAACACTATGCCTGCCTGCTCAGAAGCAAGTGCCATCAAATTCAATGGGGTTTATTCACAGGTACAGGGTTATAGGATTGCAACCTTAAAAAGAATCTTTCAGAGCAGTCCTGCCAGGTTAGGGAATGGAGCCAGTGGGGCAGACATACCAACAATTAATCAAAGTTTGTGACAACATTTAAAATTGAACTAAATTCTTTTGTTCAGTGTTCAGTGTTTTATAAGTAAAAATGGTATAGACCAGGGCTTTCTTTAGCTGGAACTTGATGGAACTCTCAGCACCTCTCCGGTGGGCGCCATTACCATTCTAACAGAATGAGGGAGAAGTTCATGGTGAGTTCCGGTGCCTCTTTTTCTAGAAAAATTGCACTGGTATTGCCTTGAGGCTGCAGGATGTCTGCATTAGGTTCTACTGATCGGGGAAAGGGGTGGCTCGGCTAGAATTTGGGCATTGACCATCTTTGAATCAGAAATTCTGATTCGACCCAAATGATTTCCTTCCACCAGAGTGCTTTGCTGTATTCCTGAGTTAGGAATGCAGGTGAAAAATTATGCCTGGGAATGGGAAGCGTGCTTCAGTTTTTGCATGAAAGATCTATGAATTATTATTAAAATTAAAATACCGGCCCGTACCCTGAGGGTATACTTGGAGCCAGTAGGCGTTCTGCTCTTCCCTTCCTCGGATTACAATAATATTTATTTCCTGCATGCATCCGTTTTGCTTTACGCTTACATTTTTCACAAGCAATTTCTTCACAGCCGTCCATGGCGGGGGGAATGTAACATCAGAGCTGACCCTGGGAGGCAGAGGAAAAGCTGCCCACTGGAATTCAACACTGTAGCAATTACCTTTTCTTTAACATTCAATAAGCTATGTTTTACTTCTCCTTTTGATGAGAGATGTTCCCATCCGCGAGCCCTTCTGCCAGCCAGCCCCTTCTTTCCCAAGCCACTTAGCTCAGGTCTTTTTAAAGAGGGAGATTGTTTTTGAACAAGCTTTTCCTGGCACGGCTCCTTCGCCTCGCAGAAGCGATCAGGCAGTGGGCATAGTTCATTCCCACTGCAAGGCCGCCGCTACCACCACAAACAAACATCCACGTCCCTAGAAAGGGGGCCGCTTTTCTTCTGCTAATGGGATTGGCACCGTTTAGAGCAGTCTGCTAGGACATTGTCTGCAGCCACAGCAAGAGAAACATTATTCAAAGGCCATTCAGCCCCCAGAAGAAGCGGCAGAGCCGAGTAATTATCGGAGGCTCTCCATTAAGGAGGGCATCCCTGCTCTTTGTCTGCACGGCTTTAATAAAGCTCACTAATAGGGTTGGTGGGGGAGGGGCCCCCTAATGGCTCCAAACAAAACCCTTTTTCTTTTCTCCCCCACCCCACCTCACCCCACCCCACCGCCCCCTTGTTACAAGAAGTGGCTTTATGGAAACTGACAGCAAAGCCATAAGTTACCATACTGAATAATGACCTTCAGGAAAACTTTGTGTGAACCCAAATGCTTTCGAGACGCACGTCTTCAGTGCCATCGGAATATCTCTTGCACCCCTTCACGTTTAGGCGTTTCTCTCCTCGCCTCCTCTCCCCTGCATGTGGTGAGTGAGGACCCTGTTGCAACAGTTTAATAAAGATCAGGCTTACTAGCTGCTTTGCTTCTCAATATTCTCTGGTTGGCCTCTGTTATTTTCTGCTGCAGATAGGGAACCCACTTAAGGACTCTATATGGGCTT